TTTGTCCCTGCAAGGAAGAGATGGAGACCCCATTGAGTCTTCAAAGGAGGGAGGGAAACTTTGTACTACACACAACAGTTAGCCCCACTTCCCTGGCAGGACAGACAGCACTTTTGGGTGGAGTGAGAGTTCCCTACTAGAAAGGCCTCTGGTGGCACTTGTTCCTGCCTTTCCAGTCTTGCTGAGCTTCCAGGAACTTGGGACAGGAGCACTGAAGCAGGTGGTGAAGCAGCTAAAATCTGAGGCCTGGAAAGTGACTCAAGGGACTTCACTGACTGCTCTGGTCCTTCTCTGGTCCTGGAGGGCCACGTCACTTGGTGCTGGCACTTCTTGTCCTGACTGTTCACTGAGCCTGCATAATAGAAAGTAAAGCAGCCATGAAGGCCCATTCCATGTGACCTCTATCTGGGATGTTGCTCAGGCTGATTGGGCCCTGTTCCCAGGTCCCAGATGTCCCCATTTTAAAGATCTCCTTGTAGATAGACAGCTTATGTATTCTGGAAGATGTGACCCACTCTAGCACTGTGTTGGGAGAGCATGTGGATAAACCCAGTTCTCTAGGGGGAAGGAAGTGGCACTGCCTGCCAGTCCTTGCCTAAGATGCCCTGGGGAAGGCAGCTGTCTTCCCTTTCCGGGTACCTATACCTCATGGGATAAGCAGGGGAGAAGATGCCTGGCCTGAATGGGCATCCAATCCACCACTTCTGAAAGCTTATGGTCAGACCTCCCTCTCCCCCACTGACACCCAGGAGCCCATCTGTAACTAACAACTCTTTGGAACAATTTATGGCAATAGCTGGACCCTTGGGCACAGGGAGAGTCCTGACTTGAGAGGTGAGGAGTTTATTTCTGCCTCTGCCATTAACCAGTCTGGTTTATCACCTGCAGCAGGCCAGTGTTGGTCCCAAGTGAGGAGAGCCAGCCTCCAGGTGGCTGGACAGTATACTGACAAGGCAGGTGGATGCAAAACAGCCCTGGGTCCTGGAGCCTGGCTCTGCTGCTTCCAGATGTGCCAACCTGTGTGGGATGTAATCTCCCTAAACAAGGATGATAATAATACACACCCCCCACTCTGAGGCTGCCTGGAGGGTTAGCACCCAGTGCAGAGGCAGTCAGGCACACTGGAGAAGAATAATCACTTTTGTTCCCCACCTCCATCTTCCCAGAGGTCATATCTATTGTGCTGGGCCTGGGAAGAGGCAGCAAAGGACTTCAAATGGCCCAAAACTCTAGGGGATGGCACTTTTCCATGTGATATGGCAAAGTACTCAGTCATGAGCAGATCTTACAAGGAAAGTATGGTCCTGCTGAGGTCAAGCTCAGAGGTCAAGGCCAGGCAGGAGGCTGGGGCTGTGTGTCTACATCCTGAGCACTGGGGTTCTCTCTCCCACATAGCTTCCCAGACAACTGCTGCCCAGCCCTCTTCCTGGCTCCACAGACAGATTGCTCCATGGCAGGATACAGCTCTGGGCTGTTTGGCCAAAGTTCCTGCCTCGGTTTCCAAACCCTGTGTGTACACGCTCTGCTCTTCACCCCAGGTTCTGTCCTATGCCCTGTGAAAGAATTATCTCAGTCCCTACCCCAGGGCTGCCCAAAGTGGCTTAGTAGCTAGTCATGCCTGTTATTAAATATTCTGACTTTTGCCCTGTTATCCAATCTCATCCAAAGGAACAAGTTTATCCGAAGTTCTCTAAAGTATTGACCCTTGCCACACAAGGGACTCCGTAAACTTGGGTTCTAAAATTTGGCTGGTTTCTGGCTCCCATCTGCTCCTGCATAGACAATGTGCTGGCTCTAGGGCAGCTGTCTCTATAGATCGGTTATCTTGAGGCTATGAAGTTTTGATCATCTCTAGCACTAGTCCTATCGAGCTGTTATACAAGGATCAAATGAACACATTCTTTCCAATCCAAGATCATTTTTCTTGGACTATTCCTGGACCCAGACCTAATGCCCACAGTCCTACTTCCTTTCTCCCAGAACAATCCTCTGCTGTCTCCTCAAAATCCTTCTGGGCTCAGTCTCTTGGCAAAATGTCGGAGCACTGTTTGGAGTACTTCAAAGCTTGTCTCTCCTAAAAATTCCTGGGCTTGAAGATGTGACCTGAGGCTCAAGGGAGACCATAAAGGAAGCCTTGGTGCTTGCTAGAAAATGAGAACTTCCTCAAGGACCTGGATGCCATGGCACGCTCTAGATGTCCACAAAGGACAGTAACCATGGGATGTGAGAGTAGAGACATAGATAACAAAAGCAGAGCCAGCAGGACTGCCAAGTTTAGGGTTTGTGGGGGCTTTGGAGGCATTCTCAGGGAAAAATAAAATTATTAAGAAAACTGGTTCTAAGTGATGAAATTCAAGGAAGAGAAGAGAGATCAAGTAATACTAAGGGTCATTTAAGTAAGACAAGAGTGTAACAGTGTTTCTGGGCACAGGTTTGAGAACTAGAGTTCAATTCAAACTCAGGTTCCTCTGATTCTAGCTGAGAGTCCTATGTCAAAGGACTGAGCTCCAGATTCTGCCTCCATAAAGTAAGCCTAATAGTACTTGCTTCACAGTGTAGTTGTAAAAATTAAGCAGATAACCAACAGAGCGTGTATATACAGCACATGCCACCTGGGGTGATGCTGACATGGCCTGCATTGCTGCACAGTTAGAGCGGGGGAAAAAATGATCCATCCCATTGAGAGGTACAGAGGCTCAGTGACAAGACAGTGTTTCCCTGGGGATGGGAGACCTTGACTGAAGTTGCAGGGGAAGCTGTGCACACTGCTTCTTTTCTAGAACAGACCCTGCAGGAATCATACTGGGCATCGCAGCCCATCCTGGAGACAGAAACGCCATGATGGCTAAGAAGACCTGGGCCTTGGGCTCCGAGCCCTGCTGCTACACTAGGGATGTCCCCAAGGATCAACCTCTGCTTAAGATGCACCCTTTTCAGCTCCTGCTAGGATTCCAGGTGCCCCTGAGAAAGTGGGCAGTGGGACCCGGTTTGCCAGAACTGTGCTCCTGCTGAAAGATGATTTCTGTCTCCTCACCAGGCCAGACCAGAACCCACCCTGCCCAGGTGGGAAGTGAGAATTGAAGAGCTCACTGTTCCATGCCTAGAGGTCCTGCCAAAGGCCATATGCATGGTCAAGGGCCAGAAGAGAAGCCAGTTATATGGCCTTGGTCCAAGTCACAACCCTCAGGACAAAATGCTGTTAGAATATTGAATGTACATCATGTCCAGAGTTAACCCACAAAAGGAATCCTTGGGTGTATGTAACCATCAGCCCAAATTTGGCTCTGGTTTTAGGTGGCTATTGGTGAGAGAAGGGGAAGAGATTCAGGCATTTACACATCTATCTCGCAGACAATATAATTTAGCAGTCCCACAGCCATCCTTCCATTGCTGCTGGTTAGAACCAAGCTCCAGAAAAGTCTTGAGGGATAGAAAGCAAATAATGATTGTCTCTGAGTGGTGAGATTATGCATATTCTTTCTTCCACCTTTATATTTTTCTGCAAACTTTGGTACTACTTAAAAAGAGCAAATTGTGTCTTCTGAAAAAAGCACCAAGTAAGTCTATTGCACAGAGCTCTGGTGGCATGCTGGTAAGCACACTGGCACAAGGCAAGTCAGTGGCATTTGTGCAAGCTCAGTTTAGGAGCGGACAATGACAGAGACACTTTGCAATTGCTGGGTAAAGAGCAGCTTGGGAGGCGAGGAGAGATGATTTCAGGAATCTGGCAAGCACAAAGTAACAGGGCACAGGGAAGACAAAACTGGCCGAGGAAACGGTAGACAGCAGGGCATGTAAGGGCCACCCCCACTGCACCCACTGTGGGCTAAGGAGGGTGGGGCTTACTAGAGGGCTAGAGCTGAGATGATGTCTCAAGACATGATCAGAACGAAAAGAATAGCAGGACTCGCCGTGGGAGAGGAGGGTTCTCAGGGGTTAGCGGTACCGACAAAGGCATCTAACAGGAACCAGTCATCAGATCGAGGGGTACTTATGCTTTTGCTATCATGAAAGAGAAGCCATTTCAGGTCAGTCAGACTTTCTAAACGTCAATTACAAAATGCAGTGAAGCAAAAAGAGGCAGGTTGTTCACTGGGAGGGAGAAGTTGAGGACCAGAATGATTTAGGGGAAGGTACAGATCCTGGACTGGGGCTAAGCACCAGGGTAATGGACACCTGGCCTGAGGACCCCAGTGAATAGGTGTCTGTCACTTGTCCAGTCACATCATGCCTGCTGGGCAAGCTGCCATCTTGGTCAAGCAGGAGAGCCTCTCTCTCTCTCTCTCTCTCTCTCTCTCTCTCTCTCTCTCTCTCTCTCTCTCCTCTGTTATTCAGTTGAGAAGGACAGTGAGAATACCTCAGGACTCACTTGTTGTTAGTGTTCCCTCTGGCACTTGGGCCAAAATGTTCATCCATTTATTCACTTATTTAATGGACATTGATTGAACACCTTCTATGTATCAGCAGAGGTGTGATAATGAAACCAGAAGGGTCCCAGAGCTATGAGCTTCCAGAATTTTCCAGGCAGGAAATAAGACAGATACCCAAACAAACAATGACAAGAGAGCACAGAGGTTGCTGTAGTGGGCAGGGAGGTATGCATGGGGGATATATCGGTTAGCTTTCCATTGCTGGGACAAAAATGCTGAGTACACAATTTACAAGAAAAAGGATTTATTTTGGCTCACGGTTTCAGAAGTTTCAGTCCATGGTCATCTGACTTCAAGGCACAAACATCATGGAGGAAGTGCATGTGGAGGAAAGCTGCTCACCTCAAGTGGGAAGCAGAGGTTAAAGGAGAAGCCAGATAGGAGACCAGATATAGTCTTCGAGGTTGTACCCTGAGACCTACCAAGACACATAAAAAAGCGTGTTTTGCTTATCTCCTAGTGTCTCTCAAGACAAGAAAGTTGACAGTCAAAATTAACCTTCACAGCTGAAGTCTCCCCAGGGGCACTGGCGTTGGGGCGATGCTTGAACCCTGTCCTCTCAATCCACAGGAGGGGCTGTCACGATGCTACATGTTGACAGTGAGGATCATCCGGATGAAAAATGTCCATCAGGCTGATGTGTGTGAGTATCTTCCTGGCTCTTCTTTCCTTATCTGAATGATAAGAGGCCCTGGCTGGAGAAATGGTCAGGTGTGTGTGTGTGTGTGTGTGTGTGTGTGTGTGTGTGTATGTGTGCCTATGTACGCATGTACACATATGCATGGGCACGTGTGTACTCTCCACTCTGGTTGCATTTCAGGGCCATTTTCAAGGGTCCTCACTCTTGCCATTACGTAGGCACTACCAGCCTTGCAGTCTGTTCCTGTAACTGTCCCCCACCCTGTTCTCCCCTCCCACTTTCTTCTCTGCCTCCTCATATTTATTTCCAAGAACATCATCTTCCCAGACTCTTTGATCTTCCATGAGTTTAGGGGAGAACTCATGATGTTGGGGTGAAATAGGAAATTTCCTTGGCCATGATGGGGTCAGCAGCTGCCAGCCTTCTGAGAGCCTTTTCATAGCATAGGGGTCCCAAACCGGGTCAGGGATGGGGTAGCATGGGCAAGTGTGTTACCACAGCGCACAGCTCTGCGGTCCAGTCTCCTGGATGTGCATGGACCTACCAGGGCTACCAGGGTTTTCTTGCACCCTTCTCCTTCCTTTGTCCTAATGCATGGTCAGGGAGCTTCTGCCTCAGGAAAAGGTGAAAGCACCAGAGTAGGTGGGAAACCCTTCCACCTGAGATCAGCCTCCCACAGGCTACCCTCCCTTTGCCCCATACAGAGAAGAGGTATGATTCCCCCGGGAGAAAGCTCTGTGTCCAGGATCTGTGGTTGTGAGAGTGTCCCTGCTCACTGGTGACCACACAGGAATGTGTGGTCCACAGGAATGTGGGGACACAGAGCTAAGATCCTGGACTTAATCTTTTCTTTTTCCATTACTGATATTGAATTCAGAGCCTTCTCAATGAGCTACATCCTCAGCCCTTTCTAATGTTTTTTTTAAATTTTGAGATAGAGTCTTGCTATTTTGTCCAAATTGGACCCAGACTTTGGATCATCTTGCCTCATCTTCCCATAGTGCTTGGATTATGGGTGTGTGCTATCACACCCAGCTCTGAGTTTACATTTTAGCAAGAGAGACACCCATGTCCAAAGCAGCCACAGAAAATAGAGATGGCATTTTGACCTTGTCACTACAGAATTTAGAGCCACAGCTGGGAGGGCCAGGGTATAGGCGTAGAGACCCAGGAACATGGTGTGGGACAGGCTGTTTTGAAAGATCTGCCTCCCGAGCCACTGCTCTGGGCTGGCCAGACCAGCTGTCCAAACACCATGTGATCTTCCTGAGAACCTACAGGGTAGTGGTGAGAGGTCTATTTTGAAGATGAGGGATTAATGGTTGGCTAAGGTGGAAGCGGTGTTTAGTTTCAGGCCTGAAGAAGTGGACAGAAGATGAGACAGGCCAGGGGAATGAGGCTGGGACCAGTTGGTGGGGAGGCCAGAAGCCAGGCAGAAGAGCTGTCTGATGGTCTCTAAGCGTGGGCTGCTTGAGTTGCCAAAGAAGGGATTGCATGACTTCCTGGGGGCACACAGTGCTCGTGCACAGTGCAGAGGCTGGGAGCTTACAAAATGGGGTGAGTTTGAAGGGTGCAAAAGTGCGCTGAGCCCTGCGTTCCCAGAGAGTGAGGGATCAAGCAGGTTGAAGTGTCCAGGGCTCATGCCAGTGGGAACAATTCCACACACATCAGGCTTTGGCTTGTGTCACCAAGTGGCCAGACAAAGGGCCCGAAACCTTTCTTGGGGCTTTCTCAGCCCACCAGTTGTGAGCTGAGGAGCCAGAAGTGTCCCCTGTGCCTAGACTGTGCTCTTGCCAAGGTGTGTCACTCACTTACTTCACCCTCTCTTGGGCAAAGATTGCCCCTCCCCTGGGCAATCAGCTGCACATGACCTCTTCCAGCTTCTCCTGAGGCGTGTCTGTCCAAATCCTAGAGTCACCTCGCCATGGGTGCTCACTCTGCAGGCCCACACTTGCATGCCACACCTTCCCAGGGTCCAGTGCTCTTTCTTCTGCTTCTTCCTGCAACACCTGTCCCCCAGAAAGTGGCAGGAGAGCTGCAATCTGGCTCTACAAGGCTTCTCTACCCCTTTTCCCACCCCGCCATGGTATGCCTTTGGGGGTCCCCTTTGGGAACCTCATTGCTATTTATGTTTTCCTCACTTTCCGAAGACCCAGAGGGCAACTGTGGCATCTGAAGTACCAGTCCCCATCACATCAGGTCTGGATTCTTTAACTGGCAAGGTCTGAGCCATTTTTCTACCTTCCTTAGTTAAGTTGAGACTATCTCATTGGCTTTTGGGTCCTGGGTCATTAATGCTCAAAACTGTCCCTCTTATTCGAATCCAAATTGAACTGCTCTCCAGTTTAGACCTGTAACCAATCTATACCCATGTCTCCCAAGATTTTGGAGAGGTTAATGGCAGAGAGTACGCAGAGCTTCAGGAATGAGCCCCTTGCCAACAACTAAAAAAGCACATGTGCCAGCTCTGGGCCAGGACTGGGGGACAGTCAGCCTCCAGACATCAGGAATCCTTGTTCCTCTTGGCAATGCTATGAGCATCAAGTAGGTGTCTCCAGAGGTATGTTCTGAACATCTGTGAAGATGATTGAGCCATCTCTGAAACTCACAGATCAACAAAGAGTACACATCATTCTTATGACCAAGCCTTCTGACACTTCATGGGAAATGAAGACTAGAACCTGTCCTTTCCAGGAAATCCCTGGATCCCTAGAAATTCTCATATTGGGTCACCACTGCTTTATCATCCCTCATGGAAAATGTCATGGCCACTAACCTACCTTTAGAGGCGCCTGGCCCAACTGTCATCCAAGCCCTAGCTGATCCTCCTCCATCACCCACCTTCCCAGGATTCCCATCTCCTTATTCCCAACATTCTGTGTGTTGGAAAGTAGGCAACATTCTGCAATAGAACTGAAAAATCAGTGTTGGTAGTGTGGATGAGTGTCTAATCAATCTTGTCTCTTGTAGCAGTATTTTTATCTTAACTAGAATTTAAGACAGGACAAAATCCTGAGATTTTTTTTTCTGAGATTTTATTTAATGGGAGAACTTAGACATGGATTGATGATGGGTAACTGTTTAGAAGGAAGAAGGCCTTCATAAGGTCTATCAAGTTATGCATGTGCAACAGGTCTTGAGAGTCAATAGATCTAGATTTGGTTGGTCCTAGCCTACAGGCTCTTACTATACAGGAAGCAGATCTGAGGTGAATATTCCAGGCCCAGTAGGAAGGGCTCGTGTACAGGAAAAGCCAAGAGAGGGCTCCAAGAGGTGGAGCAGGTCCCTGACGCAGCATCCCTGTGGGTAGAGCAATTAGACATGCTGAGCTGCTTACCTGGATCTGCAGTGACTCAGTAGAATTTCATGAGTACTGATCCATCCCTACAGCAGGAAGTAGAGCTATTCATCCATCCGTCTATCCACTCATCTATTCATTCCTTCATTCATTCAAAGACAATGGTGAGTGCTAAAGATACATAGCGTCCTGTCCCAGCCCTCTGGTGTTCAGAGAGCAACTGTTGTCACAATGTCACAAGAGAGGATCAGGGACTCTGGGCCAGGAGGCACCTGGCCTACAGCTGGGCTCTAGGGAAGGTTTCCAGAGGAACTTCCTTCTGAAACTGGAGGAGCTATCCAGGAGAGGAGAGGGCAAAGGAGAAGGAAAAGGTGTCCCAGGCAGAAGGACAGGCCCCTGAAAGGCTGGAGGGCAACACAGCCTGGCAGCCTGGAGACCTGAGAGATTGCGTCTGGTGTGTATGTACAAGGGCACTGTGTGCACAAGTGTGAGTGTGAATGTGATTGTGTGATGGGACAGGGTGGGCGACTGGGAGTGCAGTTGGAAAGTGGCACAGACACAACAGCGGCCGCCTCCAAGACTGTGGCAGTGCAGAAGAAGGGGCAGATTTGAGAGAGGCGAAGTTCGAAGGGTTCACTGTGAGAACTGAGGGGGACACGGGTTTCTGGCTGCATTTCTCATGCTGCCCATGAGATCAGCATGTTGAGCCCAGTGGCCCAGCCCTTGAGTTGTTCAGAGTGGTGGAGATGGGTGGCGATGGGTAGAGAATCATTTTCTTCTGATTCTGCCAAAGCATGGCTGTTTTTCTGCCTGGAGTAGATGATTATTATGACACCTGAAGGACTATGTCATCTCACCTTTATTCAACGGAAGGAAGCTATGCATTCTTATTCACTGAATGGTGAGTTCTCAAAGATCAGAAGTAAAACCAGAAACCAGGAATGCCTGGGACAAAAGACTTCACTTGCTTTCAGAATGAAACTCTAGCGCACTCTCTTTAATGATTATTAGTAATAATTAACTACTTTGGATCAATTCTATCAGTGTAAAATGCCCATCCAAACCAGTTTTACCATCCAGTTCTGGAAACTGTGATGACTGTTACCATTCTCTACCACCTGGTGTGTGCCCTGAGATTTACCTCAACAGATTGTTGAGAGACAGACAGACCCGGCACCTCCTCCCTACACCAAGGCAGAGCAGAGACGGAGCCACGATGGGCTGCTGTGCCTCCATATCCCTTCTGCTGCTCCAACCAAAGACTCAAGAGGCTTCCTTCTGTCCTTCTTTCTGTCCTTTTTTCTTTCCTTCCTTTCTTCTTTCCTTCTACTCTTCCTCACTTTCTTCTCTCCTTCTTTCTTTCCTCTTTCCTCCCCTACTCCTCCCCACCACCCTTCCTTCCCTTTCATCCCATGTTCTGTCTCCTTCTCTTTGTCCCCTCACCCCATCTCCCTAAAATAGGGCTTTGCTATGTTACCCAGACTGGCCTAGAACTCTTAACCTTGCCTCAGCCTCCATGGCAGTCAGGATCATAGGCCTGTAACACCTCGCCTGCCTCCTTCTTTCTGTTTTGAAAAGGTTTTTTGGGGGGCCAAAGCCTTCCAGGGGGTATAGAACTTGAAAGGAAAAAAAATGCACTTGGCATCAAGTATGAGAGTTTCCTTGTGCTGGGAGACCAGGGCAGGCATGAATTGCCTAGCAGGGTGCCTGTGAAGCACTGAGCTGGCGGGCAATGGTGGTCCCTGCTGACAGCTTGTTCCCATGGGGTCCTCCTTGGCCAATTTGCTGCAGGCTGTGTCCCCCTCTCATCCCCATATCTTCTCCTTAGCCCAGAGGCAGACCTTGGCCCTGATTTTATTTCCCTGGTGCTAAGGCAAGAAGTAAACCAGATGCTATGGGCTGGTCTTCCAGATCTTGCCCTGATAGGGGAAATGATGGTCATAGCTTGTCCCAAAGCAACAGGAATTTGCTCGAAGCCTGGGGTATCCATGTGAATGGTCAGTGGTCCTGATCTCCTCTGTGAAATGTACAGCCTGCAGACCTTCTCAGGACCACAGGGCAAGGGCATCTGCAGAGCTGCCCCTGAGTCAGGAAGAGGCCCTGCAGCTGAGAGAACTTCTCTCTGGAAGACTTGTCTCCTCTCTGAAACTGGGTCAGCTCCTCTCCTGTCTCCTCAACCCTTGTTTTCCTTGGACAGTGAGCCGGACAGACTGCTTTGTGAGCCTCTGGCTGCCCACTGCCTCTCAGGAGAGACTGAGGACCAGGACCATCTCCAACTGCTCAAACCCGGAGTGGGATGAAACCTTCAGCTTCCACATCCAGAGCCAAGTGAAGGTGAGCACCAACCCGGAACCTGCCCGCCTGCCTGCCTGTGGCTCTGTCCCCTCTCGCCTGTTTGTCCCTCTCTTTCTTGTGAGTCCTTCTTCTGCCCATTTGTTCTTCTTTATATGTACTTCTTCCGCACAGCCCGCCTTCCTCCTCATCCACGTCTTCTCTCTGCTTATGTGATGTGTGTCCCTCTCCAACGGCAAACATGGATCAGTGTCCATTTGTCCCTGGGGGAATAGGCCAAACAGTCTATCCTCCTACTTTTTTCTGGTCTCTCTTGCCCTTCCAGTTAACTTGCTGGTTCTGAGTCTCTTGCCCCAGGACAGACTGTTTCTAGTACCTTCAGAAGGAGATTCACAGAGGGATGGATAATTCTTTTAACCAGGTCCAAGATTATTCTATTAGCTACTACAGTCTAAGATCAATCTCATTGCAGTCAGAAAGTTTTCTCTCTCTTAAATCCTTTTCTGGTTGTGTTATTATTCTGTTTCCTTGGTTGCATGTTCTTCGTCTGTTGAGTTGTTATTATGTGGTTTTAATCTTCTTCAGATATATGGTCATTGTAAGTTCACATCTCCCTTGAGTGCCCCACAGTGTGACAACCTCAGCAGAGCTCCCTTAAGACAAATCAGGCCTCGTGGTAGAGGCATCAAACCCGGGCTTCAGGCACTTGAAACTTCACAGCTACTGCTTCTTTTTTAATTAGTACATATTTGCAGTATGTATGTTTATATGCCTTATATGGAGCTGGTACATGTACATAACACACCTTAATCCCTTCTTCTATCCCTCTCTCCCCTTCTCTCCATCTCTTCATCCCCTTCCCTTTGAGACAGCTCTGTATCCCTGCAATCTTTTATTTTGCTCTAGATTTAAAGTTTGGGTTTCTCATATGAGAGAAACCATGTGATATAAGCTTGTGTGTCTAATTTATTTCACTTAACATGATGGTCTCAAGGTGCACCTATTTCCTACAAATAACTCAAGTCTATCTTGCTTTATGGCAGAGTAGCTCTCCGTTGTGTGTAAACACCACATTTTCTTTATCCATGCACCTGCTGATGGACACATAGCTGCTTCCAAGAATTAGACATTATGAATTATGCTCCTGTAAACATAGGCAGCCGTGTGTATTTGTAGCATAATGTCTTTGATTCTTTTGGAAAGATACCTAGAAAGGGAACAGCTGGGTCAAATGGAATTTCTAGTTTTAGTTTTTTGAGAAATTTCTGTGCTGATTTCCATAGTGTTCTAATAGGTTTACATTCCCACCAAAAACGTACAAGGCTTCCTCTCCCCACCCCTCACAGCCTCTCCAGCTTTCATTATTATTTGGTTTCTTGCTGATGAACATTCTGCATTGTTACAGGGATCCATCAGATGGAATCTATGTTGTTTTAACTTGCTTTTCTTTAATGGCCAGGGATGTTGAACTTTTCTTTATGTATTTTTTGGCCATTTGTATTTCTTCTTCCCTGAAGTCTCTCCTCCTTGCACTTGCCCATTTTTTATTGGGTCTTTTATTTTGGGGAGTCTATTTTTTCTGAGTTTTTCATATATTTTAGATATTAATCCTGTCAAAGGAATAGCTGGCAATTTTTTCCCATTCTGCAGGTAGCCTTTTCACTCTATTGGTTGTTTATTTTGCTGTGCAGAAGCTTTTTAATTTGACACGATCCCATTTGCTGATTCTTGGAACTATTTCCTATGCAACTGGAATCTGTCCAGATGACCTCTCCTGTGCATCTGACTTCAAGAGATTTTCCTATTTTATTGACCACCAGGTTGTTTGTGTTTTAACACTTTGATACACTTTGATTTTAGTTTAGTATGAGTCTAGCTCAATCTTCTGCATGTGGAGAGCCAGTTTGCCCAACACCATTTATTAAAGAGACTATCTTTCCTCCAGTGTGCGTTTCTGGCCCCTTTGTCCAAGATGAGGATAAGTGTGCTTTGTTCCATTGATCCTTCCATCTGTTTCTGTGCCAGTAATATAATTTCAAGTCTTGAATTGTGATGGGTTAGCTTTTGTTACCCAAGATTACTTTTACTATTCTACAACTCTCACCATTCCATATGAATTTTGGAATTATTTTCTCCAGTTCTATGAAGAATGCTACTGATATTCTGGTTGGGATTGCATTAAATCTGTATATCAGTTTTGGAAGTTTGGCCATTTTGACTATAGTGATTCTTTCTATCCAGGAAGAGAGGCTAGTTTACCATTTTCTAATCTCCTCTTCAACTTCCTATTTTAGGGTGCTGTAGTTTTCAATATAGAGGCCTTTCATCTCTTCAGTTAGGTTAATTCCTAATATTTCATTTTTCTTGGTGCTGTTGTGAATGGTATTTTTTTTTTTACTAATTTCTTTCTCAGTGGGATCATTATTAGTGTATAAGAATGCTCTGGATTTTTGTGGATTTATTTTGTATCCTGCTGCATTCCTGACGTTGGTTACTAATTCTCAGAGTCATTTGTTTGTTTTTTGGGTCTCAATATCATGGTTCCAGGCTGGCCCTTGACTTTACTCTGTAGCGCAGACTGACTTAAATTTGTTGTAACCCTGCTGCCTCAGCCTTCTAAGTTCTGGGATTACAGGTGTGTGTCACCATGTCTGACTATAATCTGTGTGGACTTTTTTGGGACTTTTTTTTGGTCTGTCTTTAATCTGAGTGGATCCTAAGTGGACTTTTTTTGGGTCTTCTGTTTAGAGGATTGTGTCATCTGCAGATAATGATAATTTGACTTCTTTTTCTTTTTAGGGGGTAAGGTCGAGTTGAGACAGGGTCTTGTTCTGTAGTTTGGGCTGACTTTGAACTCATTATGTGATCCACGCTCGCCTCAAACATGCGGCAATTCTCCTGCCTCAGCCTCCCAAATGCTGAAATTATAGGTATTGGTCACCATAGCATCTCTTTCCCTATACATATGCCTTTTATTTCTTTTTCTTGTCTAATTGCCCTTGCTAATGTTTGGAAGAGTATCTTGAACAGAAGTAGTGATAGTGGATATCTTTGTCTTGTTCCTGATTTTGGAGGGAAGTTTTCAGTTTTCCCCATTTAATGTGATGGTGCAGGTAGGTGTGTTATAGATGATGTTTAGCAGGTTGAGATAAAGTCCCTATAAACCTACTTTCTTCAAGGTTTATTTTTCATGAACGGATGTTACATTTCATCAAAGGTTTTTTCTGTATCTATTAATATGATCATGTGACTTTTGTTCTATCTTCTGTTTATGTAACGCATCACGTGTGATTTGCATATGCGGAATCCTTCTTACATCCTTGAAATGAAGCCTACTTGTTCATGGTGTATAAGCTTTTCGATGATTCATTGATTCTGTTTTTTAGTATCTTGAGGATTTTTTTCATCTATATTCCTTAAAGAGACTGCTCTATTGTTGTCTTTTTTGGTTGGATCTTTGTCTGGTTTTGAAATCAGGGTAATGTAGCTTCCCAAAGGAATGCCTTTGAGAGTACTCCTTGCCTTTCAATTTCATCAAAAAACTTGAGAAATATTAGTGTTAGAACTTTCCTGAAGTTTCTTTAGAACTCAGCAGTGAGACTACATTGACCTGCGCTCTTATTAGTTGGTAGTTTTGGTTTTTTTAATTACTGCTTTAATTTCTTTGCCTGTTCAGGATTTTTATTTATTTTTTTAAATTTTTATTTATTTGGGTTTGTTTTTGTTTTTGGTTTTTTGGTTTTTTGGTACTGGGAATTAAACTCACGACCTCACGTTTGCCAGGCAGGCAATTGTACCACTGAGATAAAACCCCAGCTCCCTATTCAGGGTTTTAAAATCTTGGTTCAATTTTGGTAATTCATATGTAACTAAAAATCTATCTATCTCACATTTTTAAACAATGCTTTTCTATTCCTAGTTTATAAAGAATGCTTTTTGTTTGCACGGAGGCCTTTATAGTTACTACTTTTTTGTGGTGTTGGACATCAAACTCAGAGCCTTGTCATGCAAGCCAAGAATTCTACCACTGAGCCACATCCCCAGTTATAGTTACTACTTTATAATGATGTTTCTATCATCCATGAGTTTGGTGATGAAGAAGCTTTTCATGTAAGCTTAGTCTTTTTTCTTAAAATCAGAACTTTGATTTTCTCTGCATTAAGGATTATAGGGATGCTGGGTTGGCTGTAGGTCTTACTTGGGTATCTAGTAAATATAAGGTCAACAGATCTCATCTGGTTGGGAAGCCCCAGAACCACAGATAAGTCTACTAGACAGGGACCTAAGAGGTAATACTGGCCTTAACCCACATCTCCCAGAATCCTTGGAGCAAGAGGCCACTGAGATGAGTCCAGGTCCTCAAAGACCACTGAGTCCAGCTACCTAACAGGGTAGCCACTGACTCTTGACATGCTGCTTTGAGACCCTCTATGTGACTTTATCAGGGGCTGATGAGTCAAAGAATGGAGTTCTTACACCTTATCCCAATTCTATCAGTTATGCATCCTTAATTCCTCAGGTCTACCTCCTTGCTAGGACTGAGGCCAGGCCCTTCTCCTGGGATTGGATTGGTGCAACCATGATAAGCAGACTTGCACCCTTTTTTCTCCCCTAGAATGTGCTAGAGCTGAGCATCTGCGATGAAGACACAGTAACACCCAATGACCATCTCTTGACATTTCTCTATGACATCTCCAAGCTCTGCTGCCGGAAGAAAGTCCACGTGAAGTTCCCATTCAGCCGAGAGGTAAGTGCAGGAGCCCAGGCCTGCAGCCCTCTACATCTTGAGGAGCTGTGGATGATTCTGATGATGCCATTGCATGGATTCCTCCCCATATATAGCCAGCCAAGTCAGGAAAAGATGGTGCTCTAGTTCAAATCCCAGCACTCTCCATTATTAGACGTGTGATGCAGGGTGAGAAGATAACTTCACTCCTCCAAGTTTTCACTTCTGTCTATACAGTGATGACAGTAACATCCCCCAGGATGTTGAGAGGCATAAGTGAGAAATATAGTTAAGGCACCAAGTGACCCATGCTCATGATGCAGAATGGAGATGTTTATGCTGGTTCCCTTTCCTCTTTTTCTAGCCTTACAGTCCTTCAAGGATGCCCCAAGAAATGAGTACCAATGAGGGTAAAGGGGGCAAATCCACAAATCAGAGATGGTCGAGCTAAAAAGATTCAGTCACTTAACAAACACCCGAGAGCCTGCAGCCAGGCAGCTACTCTTCCTACCCAGGGCACCCTGCAAGGACAGGCACATTTCCCCTCCTCTGTTCCCAGGAGGAAACCGAAGCCCTGGCTTGCCTCAGGCCATACAAGAGCTGTGAAGGACCAGGAGAGGGAATGCCCGAGCTGTGAGGTTGTGGGGCAGAGAGGAGCCATTCTGGGACAGGGGGTGCACGTGCTGGTGCAGGGCTCAGCTCCTCACCCTGGCCCCTCTGATGTCAGTGTTGTCCCTGATGTCAAAGACTTGGGGACAGAGAGCATAGAGGGGGCCGGGAGCTATCTCTGCTCCAGGCCATGAAAGGTGGGAAACAATGGCGCATTCACAGGCAGCAGAGCATCCTGGCTGGCAGAGATGTCACACACTGCTCGCAGTCACTTTTGCTCTTTCCCCTGCAGGACTCGGAGTGCTTAGAAGAGCTGGAGGTGGAGTTCCTGCTGGCAGACAGGTGAGCAGACCCAGCCCCGGGAAGGCCACCATCTTGAACTGCAAGTGGCCCGCCCCTTCCAGTCTCACCCTGAACCCACTCTGGACCCCTTAATTGGCACCTGCTCCTTTGGCAGGTGGGTGTGGGCCCCACCCTGCTCCTCAAGTGCACCACCATCAGTCTTGCTCTAAAGATCCAGTCCCCTGCATTCCTGAGGGTGGCTTCTAGGAAGAATTCCTGCCACGACAGTAGGGGCCCTTCTTAAGGTCCAACTAAAAAAGAGCTCAAGATGTTAGTTCTCTTGACCCAGAACTCTCAGAATGAACACCCCCAAACCCTGGCCTCAGCAGCTGGACCCAACTCAGCAGGGAGACCCAGAGCCAACAGACAGTGTCTTGAGGCTGGGACTGTGCTGGGACACACAGAGCTGGAGGCAGGAAGAGAAGCTGGAAAACAGAAGGAAGGGAGGAAGGAGGGTCTACCCAGGGAGGCAGGCCACAGCCCAGAAGGGCAGAATCCCCTGTAATGAGGCAACCCAACCTCTTCTCTTCTTAACCTAGGAAGCTTGGGCCCCTGTACTTGTGATCAGCCTGGGGACAGGAAGACGTGAGAGGCATGAGATAAGACAAGAGGGTTGACCAGGTTCCCCACTTAGAGAGCCCTCTGCCTAGGGAAGTTTAGAACTATTTGGGGGACCTTGTTTCCTACCAACAGCTAATCAGCAAATTAAAATCGACTTTGTTTCACACTGAAGAAAATCTAGACTCTCTCCTTCAATTCTTGGTCTGACAGAACTTTTGAGAAGAGCTTCCATGACTGAATTAGAAAATGACTTACAAAATATGTCAAAACTGATAAGAGTTGATCTGATAGCCAAGCATGGTGGTGTAGACCTGTAACAGCACTTGGGAAGCTGAGACAGGAGGATCGCTGTGAGTTTGAGGCCAGCCTGGGCTACAAAGTGAATTCAAGGCATAATGAAACCCTGTATCAAAAGGACAAAGAAAGAATGAGAGAGACAGAGATAAAGACAGAGACAAAGAAAGTTGATCTAAAGACATAGTCATCTTGGGCTTAATTTTGGCAATGAAGGCTGTGGACCTGAAGCTAACTATAAACTTGGAGACTTATAATCTCAATTTTATAACACAAAGAGGTCTAACATCCCCAACCCACTGTCTGGCTAAGTCGAAACTGTTAGATGCATGTACTAGATAAAGCACACAGTGGAGACTGGATTTTTTTTGATGCAAAATATTTATTCTAAGTTAGTTATTTTATGCAGTAGCTTTCCCTCTCAAAAGACTTGTGATAATCACATCTCTTTAAGTCTGTAAATAATGTTAGCAAAATAATCTTAGGCTTTGAATTCTTACAAAAATTCATATTTTACAATCTACCCTGAATATCAAGGCTGTAAGAATAACACATTTCCTACAGCCAAATATCTTATAACTGTATCCCAAAAAATAAAAAAAAACCAATAAAACCATAGCTTGGGCTAAGGGCTAAAGTTACCCAAGGAGCCTAAAATAAAACTGAGATAAAATAAAGAGTGGGTCATCTGTGTGAACATACTATTCACATCTTCCCTGGTTGGTAGGCTGCAGATGTTTCTTGCAACTAACTGATCCTTATAACTGTACACAGTTGTGTCTAGTTGGACATAAAGAATAGCTGTTCTTTAAAAAATAATGAAAACTTTTCCATTTCTTCTAATTTATAACTCTTATCTTCCGCTGGACACTCTACTTAAAACACCAGTTTCCTCCTTGATCAGCTACAAATCCAGGGTTTCTTAAGCTGATTTTCTTTATGATAACCAAGAAGCTTCTGCTATTTTATTATTTACCTTATTTATGTCATCTGCATGAGAGATCATTCAAAGATGATGGAACTGAGGAATTCTCATTTTGTCTTTCAGTCCCTCTCCACCGGAGACCCTCATCACCAATGGCGTGCTGGTGGTAATTTTTCCTCTGTCCCTGTAGCTCTAGAGGTCACATCTGGCTGCTGCTGTCAAAAGACAGGACACTGGACCTGTGTGGGTCCTGGTCCCATCCTGAGCCCTGGAGGAGTTGGGCTAATGACTCAGCTAAACAGGGGTGCAAAGAGCTAGCAATCCTGCATCCAGGGAAGAGGTGGCTTTGCATCATCCTGGCCCGGCACCCCACATCTCCAGAAGACAATCCTTCCTCTTGGGGTCTCCCCAGTGAAGGAACTCACTAAGGGGAGCCTCCTCAGGCTCAGTTCTGGCCCTGTTCCCCATAATCCCAATGCTTCTGAAGCACAATGGCAGTATTAAATATTTCCCCCATTTCAGATATTGGTACAAACGTTTTAATCAAATGTATCTAATGCCCCCGGGTTCAGTGAAGCCTCTCCCTCAGTAAGCAGAGGATTTTTTGGTGCAGAGATGTAGCTCGGGGTTGGAGCACTACCATATATGAGGTCCTGGGTTCCATCCCCATCACTACAAAAAGCAAAAACAAAAACAAAAAATGGCAGAGGCTTTGGGAAATTGTTGTGAAAGAATGTGGCCTGCTTCTGTTTCTTGCAAAGACTACCTCATTCAGGGTCCTCACTGTCAAAGTGCAGAGCTGAACTCTACCTGGTTAACTTCTGGCACGCCCCTTGGTGAACTATGACCATGTGTCCAAGAGCTTACAGAACAGCCTCATTGTTAAATACTAAATATCCCGTTTCTGATTGGGGTGGCATATCTTGATTGGGGTCAGAAATGAGGGGCAGCACACCCAGGTTTCCCAGCCAACCCAGAATTCATAGCTCCGTCTTGATTTCCTCCCTTTGGGCTGGAAGAGAAAGGAGTTGGCTTGTTCTCCGAGTCCCAGTGACCCTCTCTGTTCTGTTATAGTCCCGCCAGGTCTCCTGCCTGGAAGTTCATGCAGAATCCAGGAGGCAGAGGAAACAGAAGAAAAGTGAGTATCTCAGCTCGCTGCTTTCTGGGGGAGGAGAAAGGGCTGACTGCTTCCAAGCCTAGTACCTACTCACAGTGTTGGTCTGGAGCAGAGGCTGGGGAACGTGAGAGAGAGCTTGGCTGAAGCTCCTCGGCTCACCCCACCCTCAGGTCCTGAGCCTCTGTCCTCCCCAGCCTCTAGGGAGTCCTGTGGCTGGGGCCTGGTGCTGCCCTCTCTATCCACACCTAACTGCTCTGCCCCCCTCTCACGGCAGCAGTGGTCCTGGGGCAGGTTCTTTTGCTGGGTCCCCTTCTCCAGCCAGCTCACCTTTCACAGAGTCCTGGCACTTGCCACGTGGAAGGGACAGAAGAGACCCAAGGACTCCTCCTCACTCTCCTGACCCAGCCTCCTATAGCCTCTAGTTTGTCCCAAGAAGAGAGCAGGCAGGACAGAGGCCTCTGCCACCAGACACACTGGGATAAGTGAGCCGTGACTCTGGACTGGTCCTGAGGATTCACTTGGCAGCCCAAAGGGCTTTCTGAAGACTTCATTGATAGCAGTGTTCACCAGCCTGGTTAGAATGCAGACTCCAAGGCCCTGCCCTGAAGATAGAATGGGACTCTGGGGCACCATAACCAGGGCCCAGACCATGTATATTCTGCTGGCCCCTCCACATAGGGCTTTTGCTCAGCCGAGTAGGGTGGGTAGAGAGAAGTTTCCCAGGAATCTCACCTTTGTCCTCTTTCTCAGTAAAAGACCTGCTGGTGACAGTGACTGAATCCTTCGAGAGAGTCCAGCGCATCTCACCCCACAGGGAGCCCCACTGCCCAGACCCTGCTTTCTTCCACTACTCCAAGTACTCCCAGCCCCGCTTGAAGGTGGCTGTACCCAAGAGCCACTGGGACTGTTTGGTAAGCAACACAGTGGCTGTGACAGCATCAGGGGAGGGGACTGGGGCAGGTGGACACTGTGGGGTGTCCTCCCCATTCCCCGTACCCCCTCACCAAGCCCGCCTGTCATTCCAGTGTGGCTGCTGCCGTGCACACAAGAATGGTCCTGTCTGCCAGCCCCTCGACTGCCTCTCTGATGGCCAAGCTGTGACCCTGCCTGTGGTGAGGGCCTGGGTCTGGGATGGGCTCCTGAGTGGCTCAGCCTGGAGCTCCTGTGGTTGGGGGACCAGGCGAGTCCAGGGCATACAGGGGAAGGGGACACGTGAAATGTCTCAGGAAGCCCTGAGAGGTCTTGGGAGGCAGGCGATGGAGGAGCCACAGAATGTGTGGAAGCCAAGTGAAGAGGGAGGAAGGCCATGTCCAAGGGAGGAGGAGGGGTTGCAGTGCACATGTGTGCTGAGGCAGGTGGGCTGTGTGGTCAGTCTCCACCTCTTTGGTTGGGGTCGCCTGGCTCTGAATTGTAGTCTGTGACAAGTTGTTCACCTTTCTATCCTCAGGGTGAGAATTACGAATTACACATGAAGTCCCTGCCCTGGTAAAGTGCCCCTTCTGTTCTTCCCTCTAACTTATCCTTACCAATAGATGCAAAGCAGTATCTCTTGTGGTCTCTATTTGCATTTCCTTGATGGTTAGTGGTGGTGAGCATTTTCATGGCTTATTGGCACTTACATACCTCTCTGGAGATGTGTCTATTCAAACCCTTTGCCTGCTTCTTAAACAGACTGCTTGCCTTAAGTTGTAAAATTTGTTGTATATGCTGGGTACAAATCCCTTATGAGATACCTAAATTGCAAATACTTTCTCCTATGCAGTGTGTTCTGCTTTTGTGTTCTTGATGGAGTTCTTTTGATGGAATCTATTAATTTTCTCCACTGCTTGTGCTTTTTGGTGTGATATCTCGAGAAACTGCTTCACAATCCAAGATCATGATGATTTACTGGGCTTCACGAGCTGGGTGTTGCAGGATGGCAGGTTATAGGTGGTCAAAGGAAGCCTGGTTCCAGTGAGACCCAGTGCAGAAAATCAGGCTCCTCCTGGGGCTCTGAGAGCCTGACACGCCTCTTCCAGGGGGTGGGTGTGGGCAGGGCAGGTAAGATCTTAGATACCAGGCTCAGAGCCTGGACTTGTGCCTGGAAGGGATGTGATAGAAAGAGGGCAAGAATCGTGCATGCCATGGCATCACCTACCGCTGGCCTAGGCCTGTGGGGAGGGCATGGTGAGATCGGAGATGTGAAGTGCTTTTGTCAGCAGCACTAATGCAGCAGGAGTGTGATTCCGTGATCAAGAAGGACTTAGTGAAGACTGTGAGCTCTGTAGGAGCAGGGAGCTGCTTTACTGAGCTCAGAAGACTGCATACCGTAGAACCTTGTCTGGAGAATTTGCCAGAAGGATTCAGGGCCCATTGTCACCCATCCAGGGACTCAGGCTACTGAAGGCACTGGGGGGGAAGCTCTCCAGTCTGGACCCTGCTGAGGGGCACAGGTATCAAACAGTCCCTGATGCAAATAGGCTGCTCTGTAGAGCGTGAGGCTGAAGTTTGGGGCTTTCTATGTTACCTCACTAAGTGCTGGGGACGGTGCTGATGGCACCATTTCACAGAGAGAAAGCAGAAGTCCAAGGTTGTAGGTGTAGCATATGGTAGACTTAGGCTTCCAGCCTGGGTCAAAGGGGCTTTAAAGTCACAGGTGGCCCTTGAAGGTGGAGACGGGACTTTTCAGCCAGGGTGCTCTGTCCCCCAGCCCTGACACAGTGGATGTACGGCTGGGCTTCAGCCTATGTCCTGAAGAGCTGGAATTTCTGGAAAAGCGGAAGGTGGTGGTGGCCAAGGCACTGAAGCAAGTGCTGCAGCTGGAGGAGGACCTCTTGGAGGATGAGGTGGGTAAGCAGGGGAGCTAGCCTGGGCCCACGGTGCTCTGCACCACGCTGGTCTTTGCAACCCCACACTCCACTAGCCACACAGCCCTTCCCTGCCCTCATCAACCATGGCACTCGCTGTCATGGAGCTCCTGCTGCCCCGAATACAACTCAGATATGCATTCACCAGGGCAGCGGTGGCCAAAGACAAAGAGAAAGAAAGAGCTCCATTGCTCCTGTGTGCGAGGTGTGAGTGACTGAGCCTGCATTAATGACACAGGGGCCAAATGGTCTCTGCACCCCAGCTAGAAAACATTTTAAGCTCTATCATGGGGTACACCTCCCACTCTACCCAAAAGGCCATGATTATCCATCCAAACCAAGAGGTTTCTTGTCCCTTGAATATGTACATATAGACAGTAGGGCACTGGAGAGAAGTAAGTGACTTCCACTCCCAGGACCAACTGCTTCTTTCCATGGAGCTAGACAGGGTGCTTCTGTCAGGGCTCTGCGCCACCTCCCTCATGAGGACTGGGCCCACACTGCCCAGCGTAGCAGGCCCAGTCCCTGAACACTGCCTTCTAAGTCTGACCTTAGTACAGATGGAGACTGGGTGGAGGGCACAAGGGGACTTGTAAATGGGCTTCAGCCAACTGAAAACTCTTATAGCTGCTGCTAAATGAAAACAGAGTGAATTTTGGTCAAAATTCCTCTTCTTTCTTCTATCTTTAGAGAGAAATATACTAAGAGAATTTTATTTTTTTTACAAGTAATACAAAATTTAAAAAATAAACAGTAAGAAATCACTAGTTAATAGATTACATATTCTCATCTTAGAAATAGTTGTTAGTTACAAAATTGAAGCATATAAAGTGGACTTTCAAACAGTGAGAGTGCAAACAGTTTTGTTCAGTGCTCCAAAAACACTCAGTATTATGCTTATCTGTCTTATATACTTAAACGTATATGCAGTTATATCGTTTAGAGCACTTTCTTTTCTTTTGTACAATGACAATTACACATTTTGGGTTTTATTACTCCCACAGTTCTTACTACTTTTTTTGAAGAGAGTAAAACCAAATGTGACATATCAGAACAGAGTCAGTCAAATCAAACGGATGGACATAATAGATAATGTAAAAACAAAATACAAGGTGATCAACAGTGGTTGCCATACTGCCTCTTGCTATTTTAAGAAGAATTGCCAGTTATAATAAAATTGAACAAAACAGTAAAGAATAAAACCAAAGCATTGGAGACATTACAGGACTTTAAAAGAAGATAATAGTCAACCAGAATGGGCGTCATAATGAATCTTATTGTCTTCACAGTTTTGCCTATACTTTCAAACTTGGTACTATCAAGCAAAGCAGAATAGGGGAAAATCAGTCAAAACAAGATGGTGAGGGCAATACAGGATTTCAAATCAAGTTAATAGGAAATCAAAGTAGGTTACTATAATGTATCCTGCTATTTTTTATTTATTTTCCCTTAATTAAAAAGATGAAAAAAGTAAATAATTAAAAAAACAACAACAAAAAGGGGATTGACATGAAAGAGGGCATAACTACAGGACAACACAGGTCAAAACATAACCATTTAAGCAAAATAGTGTTTCACCACAAGATATCCTGACATAAAATAGTTACCATAGTGTCTCTTTCCTTGAAATCTTTGAGTATAACTTAGTATACTGTAGCACCAAACATATCAAGACACTATAAAACCATTCAAGAGAATGACATTATCACAGGATATTTAGAACCTATTAACAGAAAATGAATATTTTCTGTATAATCTCCTTGTCTATAAAAGTTTTTACTTATATTACCATATTTAATAAAATCCAATAAGATATAACCTTTTAAGACCGATGGAGACAGAAGAATACAAGTTTGATGGGACTTCAAAACAAAATGATACTAAATCAGTACTAGCTATTATGATGTCTTGTTTTCTCCAAAATAGCTGTTCCTACCATCCGATCTTCTCTGCCTCATTTCTGTTGAGCTCTTTTTCTGTTGTTTCTTGTCAGTTTGTCTTCTTCATTTCACTTTCTGCTCCATTCATTGTGGCCTCTCTGCCACTATTTCTGGAATCTTGGTATTTTCCTTTTTTAGAATATCCTGCAGTATTCTCTGTAAAGTTGAATTGGTGGTTGCAAATTCCCCTAGTTCCTCTTTATCCTGGAAGCCCCTTGTTTTTCCATCAATTTCTAGGGACAGTTGTGCAGGATATATCAATCTTGGCTGGAGGTTATTATCTTTCAAAGCTTGAATTATTTCCCCCCACGCTCTTGGTGATTTGATGGTTTGTGTTGAGAAGTCTGCTGTAATTCTGAAGGGTGTTCCCTTATAAGTGATCTGTTTCTTGTCTCTGATCACTTTTAATATTCTGTTCTTATATTGGATTTCTGGAATTTTGATTATTATATGCCTGGGTGTAGCTCTGTTTGGGTTGTGAGTGGCTGGGGTCCTGTATGCCTCATAGATCTGAGTATCTTTACCTTTTGCTAAACCAGGGAAATTCTCCTGGATTATTTCTCTGAATAGCTTTTGTAGTCCATTTGTTTGTGTCCCTACTTCTTCTTTTATTTTCTTAATTCTTAAGTTATAGATCCTCTTATCATCTAGCCTTTGTATTGTTGCTGTTTGTTTTTTTGTTATTTTTAAGAAGTTTTTCATTTCATGCTCCCATATTACAAATCTGCCCTCCAGTTCAGATAATCTATCCTTAGTTTCTTTCAAGCTGTTATGCTAGTTTTCAATAGAGTTTTTAGTTTCCTGGTAATCTCTTTGAACCTGCTTCACATATTCTATGTTTTCTCTATTTTCTCCACCAAACAATTCTCTCCTTTTTTTCTGTTCTTCCATTCCACCATCTGTTTTTTCTTGGGTGGTTCTTAGCATTTCTCTAACTATTCTGCTTAAATCTTGCTTCAGGTCATTAATAACTTCATTCTTGAACTCGTCTATGAGGCTCTGGAGATAGCGCTTTATGTCTATTGGTGCTGTGTCTGATATTACATGTTTCTGATATTACATATTTTTGTTTTTTTAATTATTTACTTTTTTCATTACATGTTTCTCAGGATTGGGGGCTGCGAACCCTTTCTTGTTGCTCCCTCTTCTCATATTTTTTGTTCCTTTTATACAAGCGTATATAGGAGGCCCAGTTTCTTTCTTTGTCAGTTACAGTTTGTTTGAATTGCGCCGGCTAGGTGTTCCTGCCCACTGCAGTGTACTAGGGAGACAGAGACCTGGGCAGCCTATGCTGGGCCTGCCCCTCCAGGTCAACGTACCGAAGGCTTCACTGCTAGGGTGCACTTCCAGGTGCTGGGACCTGGTTTGGGCTAGCCTACTGGGTCTTAGTCAGTGCAGGCCAGGCACTCCCCACCAATCCCGCTTGAGAGGAGAATATGTGACTGAAGTCACTGCAGCATCCTGTTCCAGGTATGTCCTCCCAGTATGTCCTTTGCTGAAGCCTCCTACTCTATGGAAGGGTCCCCGTTCCGATCTGCTCACTCACCACAGTTCCATGCCAGTCTCCCAGCCAGTCCTGCTCTCAACTCCATTTACCGCTTCCCACTCTCAGAGGTTTTGCGCCTCTTTCCTTACTGTGTGGATTGGGATGCAGCAGTGGCTGCAGGAAGTTTAAATCGCAGCTTCCAGAGGCTTGGGGTCCAGCTTCCGTGCAGAGACCTTATCTGTTCCTGTTATATCACTGGGATTGCATTTCCAGTTGGTTTCTCTTAGTTTAGTTCGTTCCTGGGTCAGCAAAGTATATTTCCCCTTGCTTATGGTTTCTCACCTGGCACCATTCCTGGATTTTAAGTGTGGTTTCTCAGAGAGCCTCTGAAGCTGCTGCTATCTATCCGCCATGTTCTCCCGGAAGTCCACTAAGAGCATTTTAAACCTATGTCAATGCACAAATGTTCCCCCTACACCAGTCCTCCCTGCAGCAGAAATTCATGCTATTACACACACAGTACAGACTCTGTGCCATGGATTACATACTCAGGGGCTGGTGTCCTACCATCATATCCGATCATGGAAGACATGGGTTTGGCACTGTTGAGACCCCATCTCCCCACCTGCCCCCTGTTCTATCATCTGTCACCTGAGGCCTACAAAGGGAATGATATGAACTTGATGACCCATGACTGCCTATGACGCAGCAGAGCCCTTCCCGCCACCACCACTGCTCTGTGAAGGCAGTTGATGCTGCCCCTCTCCCCTCCTCTCCCTGCTCTCTGGCCAGTTTGTCCTCCTTGCTGTTCTATCTGAGCTGCTGTCTATCATTCCAAGCCCACTCCTACTCAGCCCTCCCCCAAACTCCCCCAGCAGTCTGTCTCTTCCATGACCACAGGTACCGCTGATAGCCATCATGGCCACCGGGGGTGGAGCAAGGTCCATGACCTCCTTGTACGGCCACCTGCTAGGACTGCAGAAGCTAAACCTCCTGAACTGCAGCAGTTACATCTCCGGCCTGTCTGGGGCCACCTGGTAAGGAGCTGGGAGCCACTATCCAGTGGAGTCCACAGCAGGCAGCAAATGGGCTGGCTGGGGTTTCTCATGAGGTTCTATCTCCTCCTAGCACAAGCAAAAGAGAACGTAACCTTTGGAGGCTCAGTGTCTAAATCTGCAAAGTGGGGACAATAGCACTGACCACTTGAGAGCACAATGAGAGCCACTGTGTGAATGACCATTACTGACCCACGAACATGGCAGCCAATGATTAGTGAACCTCTGGTGCCACTGACTCCATCCTGTGGGACAACGTGGATATCCTCTCCCAGGGCTGTGCAAGTCTCTTGTGGTGGGGACCTGGCCCTGACCCTGTGGCTTCCCTTCCTGGGGGCTCCCCTGCCCTGTAACCTGTCACTCCTCTCCCCTGCCCAGCTCCCTCACACTGCTTGAGGGGAACGGGGAGGACCTTGTAAAGGCTCTGCCTCCACACTCTGCTGAGGACTAAGGGGACGGAGTGCAGGCTCATGGTAGAATTCCTGATAGGGCTCATGATAAATAAAAATGTCTTATGACTTTTTAAATCAGAAATAAAAATAGACTTCTAGATTAAAGAAAATTTGTTCTTGGTTTTGGGGGGTTTTTTGAGACAGGATATCTCTATGTGGTCCAGGTTGGCCTTGAACTCACTATATAGCCCAGGCTGACCTTAAACTCAAGATGATTTTCCTGCCTCAGCCTCCCAACTGCTACGATTACAGGTGTGCACTACCATATCCAGAAAGGAAATGTTTTAATAAATAACATAAATATATTTGTCTTAATACAACAGAATTATAACACTTGCTTTTTAAATATTTTTCTGGTGGACGGGAACCACCAAAGTCATCATGTAGCCCTGGCTTTGAATAGCTGGGGATCCAAGACCAGGCAAGGCCTCTTGGCCCGGATTGCATCCTCCCGTGGTAGTGAATGGTAGGCCTTGGAGCCCTGGAGGTCTCTTATTGTGCCTTTTAACCTAGAGGAGCTCTGGGTGCCTGTCATTTAAGCAAACAGATGTGAACTTACCCTGGAAAGTTGTCAGGACCTGGAGAAGCCAGAATAGAAGCAAGAGCTGATAGTTGCTGGTGTGGCCTCTATGCTGAGCACAGATGTTCCTCAGTGTCAGAGAGGACGTCACTCCACAGCCTACCTCTCCAAGACACCAAAATCTACCGATGCTCAAGACCTCTATATAAAATGATTAGTGTTTATGCGTAACCTACATGCTTCTCCCACATGCCTTAAACATCTCTAGATTACTTATAATACCAAATGCAGTGCAAACACTGTGTGAGAAGCTGTGTGTGGGCAGTTGTTATGCTGTCTTATTTAGGAAGCAATAACAAGAGAGGAAAGGCCATACAGTGGATTCAATACAGAGGTAAATTTTTTCAGATATTTTGGTTCATGGTTTGTTAAACACACAGACGAGGATCCCAAAGACAAGAAAGACTGCCTAAATTTGCCCAGTATGACTTTACAGCTGGAGGAATGCAGTAATTTGCTGAGGGTCACTTAGCTGAGTGCAGACCAGGAGTTTGAGTCCAGGTCAGGGTCCCTATTCTTTACACAAGAGGCTACTCCAGAGAGCAGACCATAGGATAACCCACTTCCAATGAGGTTAAGGGCGATCTGCCCCCTTCCACCCCGCACTGCTGTGGGGTAGGCAGGAAATGGGGAGCGGGAAATGGGGAGGACCTTGGGCTCAGCGAGGGAGGTTGGTAGGCTAAAGGGGCCCCTGCCTGGGGAAAGAGTGGGAAATATTCTTCTTTTTTTAAAAAGGTTTGCTTTTTTTTTTTTTTTTTCAGGACTGAGGATTGAATCCTTTCCACTGAGCTACATCACCAGTCCTTTTCATTTTTTATTCTGAGACAGGGTCTGGCTAAGTTGCAAAGTAGCCTACATGTTGTCCTCCTGCCTCAGGCTCCCAGAGTGCCAGGATGACAGACGTGTGTCACTATGTCTGGCTGGGCAATATTCTTTTGAAAACAACCATTAGTAATGGTTTTTAAAGTGCAAAAGTAGCAGTGTAGTCTCCATTTGGTGGTGCACACCTGTCATCCCAGCACTCAGGAAGCTGGTCAGAGAAGTGCCGTGAGTTCAAGGCCAACACAGGTGACAGAGTCAGTTCAGGAGCATCCTGAACTAGATAGCAAGACCCTGTCTCAAAAAATACCACACCCATCACCTAAAAAAAGTAACAGGTGAATTTATGGAAAGTGGAGTGTTTTTTGTCCAAGAAATCTGACCAAATCCTACTTTCCCTACACCAAGTCCTGTGCAAGAACAGGCCATAGTTTATATAACTGCAACCTAGCAAGCTCTACCCCAGGGGTCACTCTCAGTTCAGAATAAAGAGGAGCCCTTCCCTGCCCTGCTGTAGACAAGAGGGGGCCAGGCCAAGGAGAGACAGACACAGTCTAGTCCCAGGCTGGGGGATAGGGTCAAGGGTGTCACTTGCTTAGTTTTGCTGCCCCTCATGGTCCATATAGAAGTTCAAAAGGTCAAAGAGAAATAAGTCTCTAGCCAACATCATAAACATGGGAATGAACATGTAGAGAAGAGAGAGCTCAGTACTGGGACAGACCCCACCTGGGCTTGTGTGTGGCCCCAGCGTTTGTTCAGTGCCAGTCAGTGTTCCAGAGCAGTGATCAGCACGAGAACTCTATAATCAGGGTCCCCCTCATTTCACAAACAGGGAAACTGAGGTGAAGAGTGGTTACATAGCTTGCCCAAGATCCCGCAGTGAGTGAGTGGCAGAGCCAGGTTTGAGTTTAAGAAGATCTGGGTCCAGAATTTCATCTTACCCAATGTGCTACGCCAGCACACAGTGGGCACTGGAGAAATAGTAGTGATTGCAATTATGAGTAATAAGATTCAGCCTCCCTCCCACCACCAGGCCCCATCTCAGCCCTTTCCCCAGGCTCCTCTCACAGTTTAGGGTTCCCGATGACTTGCCTATCTTCTCTCCCTCCTGGACCCAGGGTTGATCAGAACAGGGCCGGGTCAGCTCCATCAGCCATGCCTGTCTCTCCAGGACCATGGCTACCTTGTACCGTGATCCCGAGTGGTCTTCCAAAAACCTGGAACCTGCTATCTTTGAGGCCCGGAGACATGCTGTCAAAGACAAGATGCCTGCCCTATTCCCAGATTACCTCTGCAAATTCAAAGAGGAACTTCGGCAGCGCAGCCAGGAAGGCTACAAGGTCACCTTTACAGACTTCTGGGGCCTGCTGATTGAGTACTGTCTGAGCGATGAGGTAGGCATTCGGTTTCTTCAGGACCCACCTTTCTCCATCAGGGGTCGCCACAGCGATTAGGTTCACCTGCCGCTGCATCCATGGACTGTGTGAGCCATAACGCACTGGATGCATAATGCCAGATCTCCTCACATTCCCATTATAGGATTACTGGGACTTGTGTTTGAGGCAGTTTAGGTGCATCCCGATATGTGGGCAGCATGTTGTCCTAAAGCCAAGACACCTGTCAGAGAATATAGGAAAGGGGGAAGGAGAGCTGTCGGCCGTGATGCAAGTCTGAGCCTGAGTGGAGGAGAGAGGCAAGGTTTGACGGAAGCATCCCAGGCTTCTGTGTGGCCTAGAAAGGCTCCAGAAGGCTCTTGGAGGGTCCCTTGGCCACAGCCAGGTGTGAGTAGTGTCCTCCGTCCCTGAATGGGCCTGCTCAGCACCGCTGCTGCACTCGAAGGTTATGTGGCCTTGGTACCGTCTTGGATTTCAGAGTGCGAGCTAGGGCCCTTCATCTATAGCTCTCTTGCTGAGTTGTGCAGGGCACACTTTCCTGGCCACCATCCAGGAAATATATCCAGTCAGGTTCTTTCCTTCTAAGTACCAAGGAGCTATGTGCACCCCAGAATGGAGACAGCCTGTGATGGCAGAACCACGTGGGATGTGGTAGAGCAGGTGGACAACGTGACCTTGGACATCAGGGTGAGCTCAGCTAACACTTGGACCCTTCAGGTCACAGAAGGCCAATGAGGAACGAGCCCCAAAGCAGAGCTGCCCACCTGACTTGTATCCAGGCTCTAGCTCTCAGCCCCACTCCCAGCTGTGCCTAGGAATTCTGCATTCAAAGCAGAACTTTCCAGAAGAGGGAGAGGCAGCAGATTATCTTCTAGAAAATCAAGCAATTTGAGCAACCAAGGATGACTTGACATTCATCATCAATATTCACTCATTCCTTCCTTCATCTTCTAACTAAATTAATTTCCTGCTGTGGTCCAGGAACTGGGCTCTCTACTGGTGATTCAGAAAGGAGTCAGACCTAGCTAGTAACCCATGTGGGCTGAGCATTTTGAGGGTTTAGCATGGAGAAGAGCCAGGAAGCCAGCTCAAGGAGCAAGACTAAAATACTGTTGGGAGGCCTCTGGTTTTCTACTCTGGCCAAAGCAGAACCACTTTTTCTTGCCGTTGGCAATGACAGCGGACCGGGCTCCTCCCTCAGTCTGTGGCTTTACTTCCAGCACAGCCAGCTCTGTAGTGTCTGGCTATCCAGGCCCAGTTCCTTCCTTCAAAGGAAGCCCCCCAAATCATCGGACCACACACTGTGTTTGTCCTCTCACACAGGCTGCTGATGGATCACCTGGGGAGGTAGGGCACATTCTCCAGGAGCATTATAAGAGCATGCTAGTGGGCTTGAGAGCTGGAAAATGTCTGCTGAGGATCTCCCTGGGGGAACCCCACCCCTGGGGGAAGCTTCTTCCATCTCCTGCTTCCCCTTAACCAATTTCTTTCCCCATAGGGTAGTGAGTACAAACTGTCAGACCAGCGAGCTGCTGTGTGCCAGGGCCAGAACCCCCTGCCCATCTACCTCACCATCAATGTCAAGGATGATGTAAGCAACAAGGATTTCAGAGGTAACACTGGTGGCCAGCGATTTAGGGAGGGGGCCCTTCTGGGCGGGCAGAGGCACTCAACCTCCAGGTCTCCACACACACACTCTGCCAACCTCCACATCGGAAAGCTAAAAAAATCAGTTTTGCTTCCACAGTCTGCTATGTCCCAGGGTTGGTTGGGGCTCTGCTTGTGATTGCGTTTGATGGGACCGGGAAACTTAAGCTTGTGAAAGGAAGGGGTCCTGGATATTTCTTAAGCTGTTTAGAGAAGGAAGATCTCACTTAGGGAAGATCTCACCTGCATCAGGGGTCAGCTTGGTCCCTGTTTAAATTTACCAGGCTTTGAGGAGCCAAATTGCCCAGCCCCTTGCAAAGAAAGCTATTTTGTCAGCTTGCGGAGGCTGGCCGCGGGCGCCCCACGTGTCCGCTCTGGGAACTGCAGCTTCCCGGTCCCAAACTCCCACAAGCCTTGAGCCCAGGAGGGAGGCCCCGGTGGGTTGTGCACCCCTGGCTCCCTGACCTGGAGCTAACGCCCTGCCCTGCTGCTCCCTGTACAGAATGGTGCGAGTTCTCCCCCTACGAGGTGGGCATGCAGAAGTACGGAGCCTTCATCCCCACCGAGCTCTTTGGCTCTGAGTTCTTCATGGGACGGCTGATGAAGAGGATCCCCGAGTCGCGGATGTGCTACATGCTAGGTGAGTCCAGCTGAGGGGCTCCCCTGGAAACCCCGCCCTTGCCAGGGAGGCCCTGCCTTTGTATTAGAGGAGTACAGGCAGGCCCTTGTCCCCGTGCCGGGCCTGCCCAGAGCACGGGACTTCTGGCACCCCAGCATTGCCTTATCCCAGGAACCTGCCAGCCTCCAGGGCTGCCTGAATCTCCCTGTGGCCTTCTTGGCTGGGAAAGGCCTGACAGGACACACACACACCAGTCACTGGGGACCCCGGGGACTCTCCCACTGGTCTGGCCTCCAGTGGTCCCCCTGGGGACAGCTCAGAAGCAGCCTGGCTGTAATAGGCTGAGACAGAAGCCTCAAACTTCCCCTTCCTCCCCCTGGCTCCAGGCAGCAGTGTGTCTGCTTCCAGTGCAAGTTCAGCACGTGGGCTGTAGGGACCACGGGGTAAAGGGCAGAGCCTCTGGGGAAGCCCAGCCAGATCCCCACCCTGGGGTCCCTAGTCCTTCTCAAGCCAGGGCTGCGGAGTACAGGGACAACTGTGATGTCCACTCTCAATTCTTCCCTTTAGTGTCTCAACTGCATCTGCCAAAGGGTGACCTCAGAACACAGATTCTCCTGGGCTGGGGATTTAGCTCAGCGGCATAAGTGCCTGCCTTATAAGCACACAGTTGTGAGTTTGATCCCCAGTACCAAAAAAAAAAAAAAAAGAACACAGACCATCCTTACAGCCTCAGTGACAGTTACACTCTTTATTTAAAGGCCTTCCTTCTAGCCCAACCTGACTCATTTCACGAGGCCTAACGCATGTCCCATCTCTTTTGAGAAACCTACCTGGAAGCCCCCACCCCACAGTGGTCTCTCTGTCTGCTGAACACCTGTGTTAGTGACCATATTGTTGTGAAAACTATAGTTAATACACTTGGTTTTGGTACCGGGGATTAAACTCATGACCTTGTGCTTGCCAGGTAGTTGCTTACACCACTGAGCTAAATCCCTGGAAATACACTTGGGTTTGAACTCTGGTTCTCCATTTATTAGTTGTGTGAAGTTTCCTAAATTGCTTAACTTCTCTGAGCCTCAGTTTTCTCATCTGTGCATTAGGCTGAAGAGTATAACCTACCTTAGAGAGGATCCAAATGGGTCAATATATGTGAGAACGTTAATGAATATTGTACCTGTTACTTTTTTAAAATAATGAGATGACATTGCATGTATCAAGCCTTCACCCTATGCCAGGCACTGCCCTAAATATTTTAGCTCTGTGACCTGATGCAAGGGGTGAATCTGGACTAGAAATCCAAACCTGCACTTGTCATATGACCCTGCCCCCCCCCCGCCACCTCCTGAGCTAGGCCTTATCCACCTTCACCTCTCCTGCCAGCCGGAGGGATGGGGATGGGCAGAGGGCCAGCACCATGGGAGCTGCCCCATGGGAGAAGGGGGTCCAAGGCCCCCAGCCCCTGAGCATCTGGCTGGGTGGGGGCACCAGGCAGGACTGAAGCTGCCAGGTTTGTGGGGCCCGGGAGGGCTTCTCAAAGGCTCTGCTCCCTAGGTTTGTGGAGCAGCATCTTCTCCCTGAACCTGCTCGACGCCTGGAATCTGTGCAATACCTCGGAGGAGTTTTTCCACAGGTGGACGAGGGAGAAAATACATGACATCGGTGGGTGACCTGCTGGCTTTCCATCCTGGTGGAGTAGCAGGCAGTACGGGGCATGGACAGAGGAACTGTCACATGTGTCCACATGGTTCCATGGCCACAGACATGGAAGACACCGGGGCAAGATAGCGGGGTGACTAGGTGACACTTGTGTCAATCTGGCCTTGCTGTCCTCTCAGGAGCCCTGCATCTCCACTGCTGGCCCCTGGCCTGTGCCTCTAACCTGGGTCCCCTGGCACCAGGCCCAGGCCCTGGAGAGCGAGGCCAGGAACATGTGAGCTGTACATACAGGCTCTTCTGGGAGCAGGCAGTCAGGTGGTGGCTCACCTGGGTGATCGGGGTCCCCAACTCGTGTGCTCTGTCCTCTATCCCCTCCCTGCAGAAGATGAGCCACTCCTGCCTGAAATCCCCAGATGTGATGCTAATGTCCTGGAAACTTCGGTTGTGACGCCAGCGTCCTGGCTGTCCAATACTTTCCGAGAGATTCTCACCTACCGGTCCTTCGTGTCTGAGTTCCACAACTTCATGTATGGGCTGCACCTGCACACTGACTATCTCCAAAATAGCCAGTTTCAGAAGTGGAAAGGTACTGGTGGGCAAGTCCAGGGCCCAGCTCTGTCGGGAGGAGAGCAGTGGGGGCCAAGCGGCCTTGGAGAAAGGAGTAGACAACTCTGGCCATGTTCCCCTCACTTTTGGCCATGTCACCATAAGTGGATTATGGGGTGTGCCAGCAGGGTGCGCTGTGGGTATTTAACTAAGAGATTATACAAATCACAATCTAGCAATGGCCTACTCCTACAGACAGAAGAAACACCTTTTTTCTGCAGTTGTGCTAAGCATGGGTTGTTAAAGTGGTGGCTCCTGCAGGTGGGCAGGGGTGGCCCAGTGTGGGAATCCCTGAGTAGTAAGTAGCAGTGCCAGGCTTCCCACCATGCTCACCTAGCTTTCACTCATCACCTCCTCCTGCCAAGGCTCAAAGACTGACTTCTCATCCTCATTGATATTTTATTTGGCCATGACCTGCAAAGGCTGCCTGAGTCCTGCCTGTTAACCTTTGTCATCATGGTCTGGGCCAGAAGGGCAATAGGCTTTGGGACCTGGGTAGCCCTAGTTTGCAGGATGGTCTTAAGCTCCTATAACCCTACTAGCTCTGTGGCTGGGTCAGAGGGAGTTTCTGTGTATTACCCATAAAGGACTTGTTAAAATCCCAAGAGCAAGTTGTTACTCACCATCCCACCCAGAGGGGCTGTGGGGCTCAGGAGTGTCCTGGTCAGAAGGGGGAGGGCTGGAGTGTGGTGGTCCGTGCCTGCCTGAAATCCCAGCTCACAGCACTCTGAGAGCCTGAGATTAGGAGGATCACAAATTTGGTTCTAGCTCAGGCAACTTAGCAAGACCCTGTCTTAAATTTTTTTTTAAATCTTTTTAATAGACTGGAAATGTAGCTCAGTGCAAAGACTCTGGGTTCAAATCCCAGTACCAGGGAGAGAAAGAAAGTGAGAGAGAGAAAGGAGAGAGACAAGAGATGGAAAGGGAAGCTACAGGGCACTCACCCCCCAGGGGCCTTGGAGCATGGCACCGTGGCACACTGCAACCAGAAGTCTTGGCTTTCAGACACGGTGCTGGACTCCTTTCCAAACCAGCTGACAGAGTTTTCGAAACACTTGTGCCTGCTGGACACTGCATTCTTCGTCAACTCCAGCTGCGCACCCCTGCTCAGGCAAGAAAGAAAAGCCGACCTCATTATCCACCTCAATTACTGTGCGGGGTCCCAGACAAAGGTGAGTGCTAGGAGCAAGGTTCCTTTCTGAGAGCAGATGCAGCAAACATCAGTGTCGGAGCCATGGTGGCATGGTACAAAGCTGGAGGGCCAAACCTCAGGGGTAGCTTCATGGCTGTCACACACAGTGGGGCCCAGGGGAGACATAAATTCACTTAGCAAGTCCCAATTATATTCTTGTCTTTGAGCATTGGCTGTACTTAACCATCAGTTTTTAAAAAAGTTAAAAAACAAAATCAAATAAACATACAAAAAACCTTAATAAGCAAAGTTCAGTGACACATACTTATAATTCCAGCACTCTGGGACAGTAAGGCAAGAGGATTGCAAGTTTCAGTCCATCTTGGGCAACAACTTAGTGAGACTGTTTCAGAATTAAAAAAGGGCTGGTGATATAGCTCAGTGCAAAAGCCCAGGGTTTAATCCCCAGTAGTGAGGCCAGGGGACTTAATACAACCTAGTTCACTCTAAAATTTTATACCACTTAAAGTGTTTAGAATGTTACACTTCCAAAATAATCATACCAGACCCCCCTTCCCAGAGCGGTAGTCCTCTGTGTAATTACCCTAACAAGCAAGACCAAAGAGGTCTATATTTACTTCTGAAAAGTTCTGGTCCTCTCAGGACAAGACACTGGTTTTGGGCTACTTGTGTCTTGTCCTATCCCAAAGCCAGGGAACAGGAGGTATAGACAAATATTGAGATGACCACAATGTTGATGACCTAAGTTTATAAACAAGTAGCAGTATACTTTCTTACACATGGTCTCACCAGGTCCTGACCCTGATTTTTTGTTTTTTGAGGTTTGTTTTGTTATCTTTTGAGACAGGGTTTCACTATACAATTCAGGCTGGCCTTGAACTTACTTTGTAGCCAAGGCTGGCCTTAAACTTGCAGCAATCCTCCTGCCTCAGCCTTCTGAGTGCTGGGATTGTACGTGTGGGCCACCAGGCCCAGTTGACCCCAGTTATTTGAAGTTAATGACACAGCCACTATTGTCTCTTGAGTTATGGAAGCACGGGGAGAATACATAGCTTACTTAGGTTCACACAGCAAACAAACCATGGCACAGGTGTAGAACCAAGGGATTCAGACACTACTAAGTTTGTTGCTCTTTCTGCTGTATCATATTTTTAAAGATATTCTGTCAGAATCCAGCCCTGTGACAGTCATTTCCAAAATCCATGCATGTGCACAGGAGCCTGGCCAACCCAGCTCCGGTCACTGTTACCCCACAGGCCACCATCCACATCTACACAGGTACCTGCGTAGGTGAGAGGCCAGGGAGCCTGCTCTCCATTTCACCTAGGGAAGGAGCCAGCAGCTGGGCCCACACTAACCCTCTCCCTGAGGTTCTTGTCCTGATCTGGTAAAAATACCACAAACTGTCAAAGTAGTCAAGAACATAGTTATTAGGAGACTGGGCCAAGGACTCCATCTCTTACCTGCCTTCAGCCCTCTAGTCCTCAAACCTGTCCCCGTGATCTTCCAGCCCATGAAACAGACCTGTGAGTACTGCAGTGCGCAGGGCATCCCCTACCCCAGCTACAACATCCAGGATGATGACAAAAGCCTCCAGGAGTGCTACCTGATGGACTGTTCCCAGGATCCCAATGTCCCCATTGTGGCTTTCTTCCCGCTCATCAATGATACCTTCCAGAAGTACAAGGCACCAGGTGAGCTGCCCCCTCACTGTCCCCAGTCCCCTCAGCCCCCAGCTGAGAGAGTGCCTGCTTCGGACTTGTGGAAGCCCCTACTGCACAGAGGGAAGCTGGGCTTCCCTCGGGTGGAACCATTTTGGCTTTGGCAAGAAAGAAGAGAGCCCCATTGATTCTTTTTAGTCTTCAGCATTTCCTGACACCCAGCTATGTGCCTGGAACTGGTTGGTGCTGGGGCAAACCCAAAATGGGAAAGCTGTTCCCTGCCCTGAGGTGCATGTGAGTGTGTGAATGTGTGTACAGCTGTGTGGAAGGGTCCAATCCGTGCAGGGTGGAAATGGGTGCTTGCAACCTGACATAATAATAGTCCACAGCAAGTCTTTCTGCCGCCCCAGGTGTGGAACGGAGCCCTGAGGAGATGGAGCTGGGTCAAATTGACATTTATGGCCCCAAATCTCCCTACGCCACCAAGGAGCTGACATACACAGAGGCTGCCTTTGACAAGCTGGTGAAGCTCTCTGAGTACAACATCCTGAATAACAAAGACAAGCTCCTTCAGGCCCTGCGCCTGGCAGTGGAGAAGAAGAAACGCCTGAAGAACCAGTGCCCTTCCTAGGTCCAGGGAGCCCCGTCCATCCTGCGTCTGCTGCTGCTCTGAGTAGCTATCTCGGGCCACACCACCAGGCCTGCTCTCTGGCGAGTAATGTGGGCATTGGCTTGGGCTTTCCACCCAAAAACATCCCGAGAAGGGGAGAGAGGAGCCACACTAGGGTTTTGTATGGCTAGGATTTCTCTCCCCACTTCCCTACAAGGAAGAGTAATGGCCACGAACTCCCATCTTTCTCCTCGAACATGGAGAAAAGCGTGGCCTGAGAGAGGGGCTGGTTCCCAAGAAGCTCAGGCTCCAAGCCTCCCCCTTCCTGTTCCACAGTGAGCCTAGGGATGCTGAGAAGGACTCCAAGTTTCTCTGTAAAAACACTTTTCACATTTTAAGGCAATTGCATTTTTATATTTATTATCCAAAAATTTTAGGATTTTGACTTTCAGGGTTATTAGTTGCCAAGAGACCTAGAAGGAGAGCTAGAGAGAGCCTCGTGTCTGCACTAACAAAGCCAAACAAACGACCCGTGGTACCTGCCTGGAACAGGGCGATCCCAACCAGGCAGCCATGGCTAAGCACAAAACACCAAACAAAGCTAAGCTTACTGTGGCTCCCAGAGTAGGGACCTGGGCAGGCTACAAAGAACAGCTTCACGGGAGCAGAGCTGCCCAGTGCTGCCATGACGTCTCTCATCTCTCACTCCCCTGGCCACCTGATTTACAGATGAGATTATTTATTTCTAAATGTGATCCCACTAATTTATCATGCAGACCCTAAGCCGGTACAGTTGAGCACTTGGAGGATGAACTGAGAAAGGAACAGCTTGGCAAGGCCAGGTCAGCGCTCCCAGAAAGAACCACTCCTCCCTGCCCCCTCAGAGTTGGCCTCCAACCTGGGAAAGCCCTGGGACATGGAGAAGCCCAGTCAGTGTGACCAGATCCCCCAGCAGGTCAGGGGCTTAAATGGAGAAAGATGTCACTGAGAAAGATGGACACAGAAGGGCAGAAAGGCACATGGCCTGAGCAGAGCCCAGCAAGCCCTCTCTGAGCCACGCTACTCCCTACGCAGCGCTTCGATGGATGGTGACAGGTACTCCAAGCTTAGAAAAACTGGGCTTTCATTTTGACATCTTTGCTGCTCAGAATGTAGTGGGGAACTGGCTAGAAATTCAGAGTCTCAGGCCGGGGATTTAGCTCAGTGGCTCAGTTGCTTGCTTGTTAAGTACAAGGTCATGAGTTCAATCCCTGGGACCCCCCAAAAATTGATCCAACAGAAATGCAGATTCTCAGGTGCTGCCCAGCCACACTGAATGGAAGTACACTGGAAAGAGACTTAGGCCTCCTCTCCCACGCCACCCCACCCCTGCGTGGCTCCTGTGTGAGTTAAAGTTGGACAAGAAGCCAGGCTTCCAGCGTAGGGGTGCCTGCCTGTGATCTCAGTGTCACTGCGCAGTGTGCAGGTACAATCCAGGTGCTGGTGCACAGTAAGCAATGAATTGAAGGCATACACCAAGTGAAAAGCGGCCACATTCATTGAAGATCACAAGAAGTTGTGCTCAGGGCAAGTCTATGCCAGCAAAAGATACAGAGCAAAAGTGGTATGCCAGGGTGACAGCGGTGTAAAACCACTGCACAAACAGCACCCAGTAATAGCCACCCATAAATCAGCCTTTCGGAATTTAAAGGCTCTGTACCTCAGCCCTGGTGCCTCCCCTGAGTCTCCAGGTGTGACTGACTGAGAAAGTCCTGTGTTATCTCGGGGGCTCTCAACACACACGCTTGTCCTAGAGCTCACTTTGATCTTAATTACATGCATGAGATGTGGTTCCTATGTATGAACTCTTAATGAGGTGGAGTAGGGTGAAGATGATTAAAGGCTAGGAGATCCAGTAGGCATGCTTAGACCATCAAAGATCTCCTGTGTTATTGTGGTATGATTTTCCATCTCTTCTAAAGCAATGGAAGGAGGAATGGCCAGGGTGCTGTTTAAAATTAAATGGAGGGAAGGAAGTGACTTCCTCAGTTGGTAACAGTACTGTCAGCCTCTGGAGGGCTGAGGCAGGAGGGCTGGGAGCTGGAGCTAAGCCTGAGCAATTTAGGAATTTGGTGAGATCCTATCTCAAAATAAAAAAATGCCAATCGCCTTTCCTGGGTAGCTCGGTGCAGAAGTCCTGGTGTCAATTCCTAATAATAATACAAAAAAGGAAAGAGTACAGGAAGGAAGGAAGGAATGAGGAAGGGAGGGAGGAGAAGGGAAAGCAAAGGAAGTGAAGGGAAGGGAAGAAAGCTAGAAAGCCGGGGTTTACCCACTGTCCCCTACAAGCCTGGGACCCATACATCCTTCAGCTCTCCTGAGGCACTGGGAAGCTGGGCTCTGGGACCTGCAGCACTAGTCCCCACCCCGGTGACTCTAACCTACTGTCACCCCTCCCCTCTGCGCCACTCTTCCCTCCCAGCTACAAGCATGGGGTTCTCCAACTTCAGAAGGAGCAGGCCAGGCCTCTCTGCTTGGAGGGAAAGGCAGTCCTGCCGTGAGTTCGTCGCCCATGTGAAGTGAAATTTGTACATCATTATACTATGTGAGCACCAAATAAAATGGCCATGTGGTTAAGTGTTGTCAGCTCATCTGCTTTCATGCCCTAATACATGGAGCACCCACTCCTCGTGCCCTGTCCCTGCCCTGGCTTCCTGGGTCCCTTCCTTCTTCCCTCCAGGGTTCCCTTCACCACTGGGGACACCACAATGATCCCTTTTAAACCCAGGCGTCCTAATAGGGCTTTGTTTTCTACTGTCCCTTCTGATGGTGAGGCCATTTCCAGTTCTTGTTTCCTTTTGCTTTGTTTTTTATAATGGGGCTTGAACCCAGGGCCTTTGCACTAAACTATATCCCCAGCCTTTTTAATTCATTCATTTGTTTATTTTTATTTTGAAAAACGTTCTCAGTAAGTCGCTAAAATGCCCAGGCTGAGCTTAGACTTTGAGTCCTCCTGCCTCAGACTCCAAAGGTGCTGGAATTACATGCATGCGCCACTGCGCACAGCTTCTTCTGTTTTTAGGAAGCCGTGTCACCAACACATGAAGCACCATCCCACGCTGATCCAGGCTGCTTCCAGCTCAGATGTTTTTCAGGAAACACTGATTGGGAGGAAGGAAAGGCGATTGGCATCAGCAGAGCCCCTACTTGGTGCACAGTGGCTGTAAACAGTCTGTGTTCCAGGAACTTAGATTCTGGTCGTGGGACATGGAAAGATGTTAATACATATGTGAGAAATTAAGCAGTGGGTTAGTCACTGAAATGACGGAAGTGTCATCTGCTCCAACAGAAGAGAGGCCAAGAGTGGCTTGGTTTCAGGTCCTCTGCCCTCTGCCTTTGAGCATGATTAGCCAAAAAAGAAATAAAATCTCCTGACTCCCCAGCACCCTTCTGGCCCAGTCTCTTCCTCTCCTTCCCAAGAGTGACCAGTCCATGTCACCCCGTCACCTCAGCCTGCAGATAGCTCCCTCCTCTCTCAAGCCTCTCTTCCTGTACCTTCCTGGCTAACCACACCTCAATTCAGTCCAGCTTGCAAAGGGCTATTCCCTGCCAGCCCCTGCTGTAGGCACGGGGACAATGAAAAACATCAGCAACTCCAGGCTGCTTCCTTCTGGTCCCAAGTGGGAGTCACCCAAGGACAGTGAACTTCACAATGTAAGGACAAAAGCTCACTGAACACTTCCCGCCCTGAGTTTCTGCCCACTGAAAAGGGGAAGCCTCTCCTCCAGCTGCTCCTCCCCTCCTCTGCACTCCTGAGCAGTCTCATCTCTCCCGGATTTCAGCTATTGCTTCTATTTTGCCTTCCCCTCTGTCAGGGAAGCCCTTCCCTATCCTTCCCTCCCAACTGCAAGCATGGGGTTCTTCAACTTCAGAGCAAGCCTTTCAGCTTTGAGGGAAAACCTTTTAGCTCTAGCCTTATGTATTCGAACTCGCCTATTCAAATGCTATGCCTGTTTGCATTAGTTTTACTGTATAACTTAAAGATCTAAAATTATGATGGTTAAAAAAAAGGGCTGGAGAATTAGCTCAGCAGCATAAGCACCTGCCTTGCAAGTGCATGATTGTGAGTTCTATCCCTGATAGGATAAAAATAATAAAATAAAATTACGATGGTTCTTGATCTCATAGTCCAGAGTGAGCTCTGGAACTCCAACTATCATATCCATATTATAGGCCACAAAAAAGAAGGAGGAAGAAAATTAACTCTCTTCCTGTTAAGTAGACTTCCTGGAAGTCCCACACTTCCTTCAGCTAACATATCCCCAAACCAGACTTGGTATCATTATCACAGTGATGGAGGAGAAATACAACTCCCACCCTGTTAGATTCACATGTGTGAGTTCGTAGTTTTGCAACACTGAGGAGTGAAATTGTCAACCAAACGCAGAAGTTAGGAGAGTTTATTGAAAACAAAGAGAAGACGAATAGTTCCTGGATTTCCAGCAGGGGTCCTAAGTGGATAAGGCCTTTTGTCAGGGGTAATTTATACAGCAAAATTACAATGTGCGCACTGTTATCCACTTGTATGATTACAAGTACAGCCATTTAGTGGCTATTAATCCAATAAGGAAACAAGTCAGGTAGCAAGAGTGTAGAGAAAGAACGAAGGAATTCCTGAAAAAGGAGGGGAGGAAGGGAGGATGGGTCCTGGCATTCTGGCCACCTGCCTATGTGCCTGATGCCTCCCTGGACCCACTGGACCAGGTGGTGCTGATTATAGTATACAGTTGCTATTACACCCAGGGAGACATGCAGCCTATTTCTTTTCCATCCTGAGGGCTAGCTTCAGACTCACCTCTAGCCACAGTTCTGATCTCTTCATCTTTTTGTGCTGACCTCTCTGAAGGCCCTTGCTGACTGTCTATTAATTTCTATTTAACTTAGCTGCCTATAATAATTACCTGTAGAAAGGATGGGCAATTTTATTTTTTCATCTGAGTGGCAATGTGTCCAGGTAAAAATCAGAGTTCTGTTACTAAAGAAAGACAACTTAAAATCTTGCAGCAAGCACCTACTGGATACTCCCACCAGCAGATCCCACCTGCAACCCCTCTGACCTGGGTAAGTAGCCACAGAGAAAGGAAATGAACAAGTGAGAGGGAAGGGTCTTCGTAGCTCCAGGCCACGGTATTCCCCCATCCCTCAGATTTTCATTCATCCTGCAAGTTAGTTTACAGAGTAAAAAGCTGAGTTTTGGTAGCAACCAGAGCCAGTACTGAACATTGATAGCCAGCCTGGGGCTTAGTTATCACTAACATGACATCCGCCTGACTTGGCCGGGCCTGAGAAAGTTTATCTCTACAGAAGTAACTTCTGTGTTCTTCCTCTAGTTCCACAAATAAACTTCCCACTCCCTTTTTGTGCATGGATCCCTCTCCAATCCCAAGATTCCACAACCACCCAAGCGCTCCACCTCCAGCCCAACTCCATAAAGACTGTTTCCCAGCTTCCCCTTTCTGAGGGTCTCTGCAGTCTCCAGCAGCCCTCCTGAACTCGCAGTAAAGGCTTTTTAAAAAATCTTTTTCTCTCTTTATCTCTCAACTGCACCAAAAAAACCTGACAAACATAACCTAGTGCAAACCTTATCAGATTACCTGAAAGGGAACCTTACACAGGAATTACAATAAAATTTCCATATGGCAAAGACAGCCACAAATATTATTACCAGGACACTTATTTCCAGAATTATTTAGTACAACAAGTTTCTGAGCAACTAATACTACTACCTATACAATTGCTTGCAACAAGATTTGACCTATAAAAACAACTGGATTCAGAAGAAAAGGTGACTGGAATTTGAATTGTGTAGTCAGAAGAAAGCAAACCAAAAGAGTATGACAGTGAGCAGGGCATGATAATACCTGCCTGTAATCCCAGGACCGAGAAGCTGAGGCAGGAGGATTGCAAGTTCAAACACAGTCTTGCCACTTTACTGACTTAGTGAAACCCTATCTCAAAATAAACAATATTTTTAAAAGAGCCAAGGATTAAAAAAAAAAAAAAAAAAAAGCCAAGGATGGGGCTGGGGATTTAGCTCAGCGGCATAAGCACCTGCCTTGCAAACAGGCAGTCGTGAGTTCGATCCCTGGTACTGATAAAAAGGAAAAAGACCAAAAAAAAAAAAAAAGAGCCAAGGATATAACTCAGTGTGAGGATCTTAGCTTCAATATCCAGTGAAGGAATCTGACCACCACCGTCCTGGGCTGAGCAGAGACCATTTAAAAAATCCTTCTTCCTGCTGCACTTCCGGCTGCAGATGTGCGGTCATGGGTCAGTAAGGCCCAGTAAGCACAGGTACACCCTTTAACTCCCAATCATTGTTCAACCCTGCTCTTGACAAACAACAGCCAAGTCTTTGTACGTCCCTCAAGTCTTGTCCCGGGTGGATAGTCACAGCTCCTGTACTGAACGCTCCCCTTGAAAGTCCCATTGCGATGTTTTCCATCCGCAGTGCCCCTTTTTATGCTCATAACCCTTAAAGACTGTATGGCTTATGTGAGAATTCGCCAGTCTCATCTGTAACGCCAAAGCAGTTGCTCTCTGGGTTGATCTGAAATAAACCTGCTCTGCTGAGAGCATGTCCCTGCTTCTTTTTCTTTTTCTTTTCCTTGTCCTTACAAGCAGTACGCCTACACACACACACACACACACACACACACACACACACACACACAGAGTGTCACAATGAGGAAAGTGATCATCTGTGGAAGATCAGTTACCCTCTCTCTCCTCTGAGGACAGAAGGGCTAGGAGTAAGGCACAGGTAGCCCCAGTAATCCAACACTTTGAGAGGCTGAGATAGGAAGATTGCAAGTTTGAGCTCAGCCTGGGCAATTCAGTGGTTTAGTGATTCCCTGTCTCAAAAAATAAGTAACATAAAATAAAAATAAAAATAAATGAGCTGGGAATGTAGCTCAGTGTGGAGGCCCTCAGTTAAATCCCTATTCCTCCCTAAAAATCCTACACATTCACTTTGAGAATGATGGTATAAAAACCCCACATAGCACAAACATTTACCATCCTAATCATTTTTAGTGCACAGTTCAGGAAGGCTAAGCATTTTTATACTGTTGTTCAACAAATCTCCATAACTTTTTCATTTTGCAAAACTGAAACTTTATACCTTGAACAACTCCCCATTCCCTTGTCCCTACAAGCCCTGATAACCATCATCTGACTTTGTGTGTCTATGAGCTCGGCTGCTTTAGAAAACTCAGGTAACTACAATCCTAAGGTATTCTACTTTTTCTTTTTGGTTTTCAACTCAGTCATGTTGTAGCATGGGCCAGGATTTCCTTCTTTTCAAGGCTAAAATAACAGCAATAGTAATGCAGTAATCACATTTTGCTTTTCCATTTACCTGCTGATGGATAGCCTCTTGACTATCATCATCATCATCGTAATAATAATAATGGAGCAGGTACTAATACTACAAAGTATCTTTTTCTTTTTTTATCTTCTTTGAAACGGGGTCTCACTATGCAGTTTAGGCTGGCCTTGAGCTCACTTTGTAGCCCAGGCTGGTCTCGAACTTGCAATGATCCTCCTGCCTCAGCCTTTCGAGTGCTGGGATTGCAGGCATGAGCCACCACACCTGCCTTATAGTTTTAATTTGCATCTTATTAATAACTAAGGCTGTTGAATACATTTTCATGTGTTTGTCTGCCATCCAAATATCTTCTTTGTGTTTTGTGAAGCATAGTATCTATTCAAACAATTGGATTTTTTTTTTTAATGCTGGGAATTGAACCCTGGGCTTTATGTATGCTAAGCACACAGTCTACCACTGGCCACACCCTAGCTCCTCCTTTCTTTTACTATTTTAAAAATTGAGATGTTTACTTTCTCCTCGTGATGATGATATTTTGTTTTTTGAGACAGGGTCTCACTATGTAATTCAATTTCCCTTGAATACACTATGTAGCCCATAGACTGGTGATCTCACAGTGATTTTGCTTTAGCTTACCAAGTGCTGGGACTACAGGTGTGTGCCGCCACCCCAGACCATTTTGTTAATTTCCATTAAAATAAGAGTTAGCTAAAACTTTGCATTAGGATCACATTAATTTGGGGAAAACTGACATCCTAACAATATGGAGTCTTCTGATTCATGGACATGGTATTTATAATCTACATTTAGGCCTTCTTTATTTTGTGGCCTCAGTATATAGATCTGATACATCTTTATTAGATTTATACCTGTTTCATAGTTTTGACGCTATTAGGAGGATGTTCATTTTTCACTTTAATACTCTATTGTTTATTTCCATAATATAGAAATATAGCTGGTTCTTGTGCCACTTAATGGTCACAATAGTTTATATCAGTTTATTCTTCTATGCCTACTGAAGGATATTTGAGTTGCTTCCAAGTATTGGCAGTCAAGAATAAGGCTGCTATAAATGTTCATGTGGAGCCCTGGCACTTGCTAGAATTGTAACTTGGGCCCTATCCTGTAGCTGCTTCAACAGGGTCTGCATTTCTGTCAGGTGCACCAAGGAATGAAGCAGAACATCTTCCTCAGATGCAGGGTACACAAAAATCATCTGGTCCTTGCTGACTGCTGTCTCTCCTCAATATTTAACTTATTAAGAGAATAAGGACCCTCCTTCTGGAATGAGGACCAAGAACCTGCATTTCCTCAGTCAGCTCAGGTTATTCTTAGGTTACTGGCCTCATAGACCACACCAAGAAATGTTCTGATAAATATCCTAGAACTGCAACCAGAGTACCTGCGACGGCCGATCATTTCTCCCAGTCGCTAGACAAGAATCATTTAGTCTGAAAAGACACAGCTAGGAAGTGACAATAACTCTTTTTTTATGTCAGTTGCTGGAATTTAGGTTGTAAACTGAAAATAATGTAATAATGAGAGTGATGGATGAATCTTCAGTTTTACAGAAAGTTAAATAAAGCAAACTAAGAAGAAAGCGCTTTCAATTGATTAGTCGAGGCAACCTCAGTAGGCGAACTATGACTCATGAAGATTGGAGCCCAAGTCCTTTCAGTCACACCGGTGAGCCTAGGGGAATAAGGACCGGCCAACGCCCAGAAGAACCTGTCTGTCAACTTTCTGAACTTTTCCTCCTCAGTACTGACTTTCAAAGGCTTGAAACCAATAAATGTCCCAGGAGACAGAGCAGCCCGCAGAGGCGAGTTCGCACCGCAGATTTCCCCGGAAGCGGATGCCACCTGGCCAGAGATGAAGTCCGGGCAAGTGACTCTTCTGAATCACCCGCCCGGGGCACACCTTCCCCTGCCCTTTGGACAATCCGTCAATAATTTATTAGGAGCCTCCTCCCCATTGGCTGGCGCCTCCACCCCTCTGGCAGAAGCCCAATGAGGAAGGGCCCGAGAGAGTTCTTCTGAATATTGAATATGAGCCTGTGACGTAGCGATCGGTGATTGGCGGTGGCGCCCGAGGCGGGGCCAGGCGAGCGCGGCTGAGACCGCTGCCAGGGCATCCCAGTGGGTGCCGAGGAGGCTTGGGCGCTGTGCAGGGTCCCAGCGCGGGGTGGGTCCGGGCGGGCGCGGCGGCGGCCGGCGGCAGGATGTTCAGCTGGATGGGCCGGCAGGCGGGCGGGCGCGAGCGCGCGGGCGGCGCGGACGCGGTACAGACGGTGACCGGCGGCCTGCGCTCCCTCTACCTGCGCAAGGTGCTGCCGCTGGAGGAGGCGTACCGTTTCCACGAGTTCCACTCGCCGGCCCTGGAGGACGCCGACTTTGAGAACAAGCCCATGATCCTGCTGGTGGGCCAGTACAGCACCGGGAAGACCACCTTCATCAGGTACTGCAGCTCCCGCCGCCCGCGTCCTCCTGGGTGGGGAGTTCCACTGGCCCAGCGCCCCCAGACCCCGGGCCCTAGGGAGCGCGGAGCCCGGAACCCCGCCCCGCCCTGCCCTGGGCGAGGCCGGCTGGTCCGGCTGGCTGTCCCCACATGGGCTGTCCTCAGCGGGTGGCGTCCTCGACAGCCCTCCGGGGCTCCGAAGTCCCCTTCCTCGCCACTTTCCTCTGTCCCCACCCCACCGTCCTGGGCCCCGGAGGGTGGACACTCCTCAGCATCCGCAGAGGGGGCGGTGCCTGGGGCTGGAAGGAGTGAACTCGGCGCCCTGCGGGCAGGACTTTACTGGATGAATGAGTGAGTGCTAGTAGAGGGTGTTGCTCCAGCTCCCTCCCCGAGATCCCGGGTGCCACCCCGCAGGGTCCGTCCTGTCCACAGCCACGTCTTTACCCAGCCGGCCCTAGAAGTTAGGGGCGTGCTGCCACACCAGCCTGTGGAACTACGGGGAGTGTCGTGTTACTATTTGTTAGTTTCCATTTCTTTCATTCCCTCCTCCCTTACCCTTGACAACTGAAAATGTTTGTCGTGGCTGTGTCTCCTGAAGCAATTACTGACTCGTCCTGTGCCTCAAATCATATAGCTTCCTCTGAAGTGACTTTTGATGAGAAATAATTTACATGGAAACAGACTGCTTTTGAAATAAGCTGTTTATTTCTAAAACAGCCATAGTATTAAAACTCTCCATGGTAAGGAGACCTGGTTTTGGGGGCTAAACTCCTTATGGATTGAAACCAAGTGACTACCATTTAAGATCTGGGCTTGGGGTTTTGAAAATTCTAACAGTTTCATCATCTGATGTTCAACAGGTGTTCAGAAATCTGCATCTATATTTGGATACATGCCATTTCTGTTGAGTAGCGACCTCTTTTCTCCACTCCAGTGACCTAAATAGTTCTGCAAATAGAGTACAGTAGTTGTCACTACAGGAAATGTGTTAAGCCCAGTCCTATAGATATCCTGTGAATGAATTCAGCAAAGCAGATACACTGCATATTGGAATATAATTCTAGACAGAAAGTTGACTGTGAAGGAAGACCAAAGAAAATGTGTTAAAACTGTTTTATGTGGTGATTATTAATAAACTGAAAAGAATATTAAACATATCACCCAAGACACTCAAAAGTGAACTGTAGATACATTGCAGTAACTGACTTCTCAGAAGGTGACAAACAGATGGTACATTTAAGATCTTAGTAATACCAGTTTTTTAGTACTGGGAGAATAAAGCATTACAACTATGTGGTACAAGACTGGGTGGAGATTACATTTTAAGCACACAATAAATAACACGACACGTTGTTATAGTTTAATGGTGACATGTTCACAGCACTCCCTCCTTATCCTCCTGGTTGTCTTTGCCCTGAGGGCCTCTTTGTGCCTGTGTGTATGTAGGGAGTCCCTGCTTGAAGCTGTGCCAGCCTGGGGACAGTTTGGCCCTGTCTGTTTGCATACATAGCCTGAGGTAGAAGAATACAGTTCAACTCCTGGAACATGGATCAATCTATCTTTTCATTTTATTCTTACTCTTCTCTATTTTATTATTTGGGAGGAAGCTTCGTGGAATCACCAAACATAGTTTTAGTATATGTATTGCTGAAAGGAGCCACTAAAAGTAGTTTTAAAATGGGCCCAGAAATTTGATTCTTGGTGACCACATTTAAGTTGACCACTTCTCAAATTAACCTCTTCTCAGTAGGTGCTGGAACCATTTGTACCCCACAGTTGCAGGAGTGATCTCCTTAACAAGAAGCCAATCTCCTGGATCTCCTTAACAGGAAGTCGTTTGTTCTTAAGGACTTCCCTTAGCTGAGGGGCTTTGTCACTAAGTGATGGGCACAAGACAGACCTGTGAGATTAGAAAAAAGTTGGTGTTGACAGGAAGCTTGGTGAGGCCACAGGCAATGAATTTGGCTTCACAGTAGACTGAAGAGAAGTGATTAGTCCCTAAAGGGAAAGTCCCCAACAAAAGGCCAGCAGTCCTGAAGATTTGCACCTCTGGAATGGTGAGCAGGGTGCTGGCCTCCTACTGGGTGCCTCCTACACGGCCTTAGACTCTCATCCATTTGGTTCCCTGCACATCCCAAGAGGTCACTGACAACACCCAAGAGGTCATGTACTGACTGGGACAGGAACTTCTTTCTTCAATTGTAAAGTCACTCAGCAAAGCCATGGATGGTGAAAAAGAGCAAGTTAGTGGGCTCTCTGGCAGATCATAGCACTGATTTGGAAGGAGGCCTCAGATAGAGATGCTTGTCGGTCTCTTTGCAATAACTACACACAGCTGATAGCCCTATGTCACTCTGTTTTATTTCTCATTAAGCACAATGAGTGCCATAGGAACTGCGGCTTAGCCTATCCCTGACTCTCAGGGAAGAACTGCCAGAGAAAAAGAGATGGCCAGTTGGGAAAGTGACCAAGTCATCCTAGACTTTGTAATAGCCAAGGAAGAGTGTAAGTTAGGCTCTTCCAGGCTGCATCCAAACCTTGAGAAAGGCAGATTTCAGATTCTTCTAGAAAATCCCTGAGCCCAGGGGCTATGAAGAAAGATGTTTCCATGCCAGGCATGGTGGTGCATGCTTGTAATCCTAGCAGTGGAAAGCTGAGGATCACTGTGAGTTCAAAGCCAGGCTGGGCTAGGTAGTGAGTTCAAGGCCATCCTGAAACATAATGAAATCCTGCCTCAAAAAAAGACCAAAACTAAATAAATAAAATAAAAAAGAAAGATGTTTCCACTTAGAGCTGTGAGATCCAGCAGAAATCAGTTTAAACTACACATCGCTACTTCTGGCTCCTAAGAGCCCTACTACTTTCTCTCTTCCTCCTACTTATACCCTGTCTGCTACCCCCTAGAGAATGTATTCTAATGAGAAAAAAGGAGGGAAGTCACTCACGAAAGTATGTAGGTTTTAAAAGGACAGGGACCAGGACCATTAAGTAAACAGGAAAAAATCACCCAGATTAGAAAAAAGTAAAACTATTTGCTGACCACAGGATCTTATATATAGAAAATGATAAGGAATTCACCAAAACAAACAAAACAAACAAAAAGCTATTGGAACAAACATATCTGTCAGGGTTGCTGTACAAGATCAGTATATAAAAATCAGCTGCATTTCTACATGTTACCAATGAACAATCCTAAAGTGAAATTAAGATAACTCTATTTACAAAAGCATCTAAAAGAATAAAATACCTAGGAATAAACTTAACAAAGAAGTATAAGACTTCTTAATTGGGGAGCTGGGGATTTAGCTCAGTGGCATAAGTGCCTGCCTTGCAAGCAGGCAGTCGTGAGTTCGATTCCCGATACCTATACCGATAAAAAAAGGAAAAAGACCAAAAAAAAAAAGACTTCTTAATTGGAAACTATGCAACATTGTTGAATGAAACTAATAATAAATGAAAAATCATCCCGTGTCTATGGATTAGAAAATATTTTACAGTGGTAATACCTCTCAAGTTGATTTAAAGATTCGATAGATTTTTGTTTCTGGTACCAAGAATTGAATTCAGTGCTTTTGTACTGAGCTGTGATCCTAATCCTTTTTCATTTATTTTTTATTTTGAGCAGGGTCACTAAATTATTCAGGCTGAGGTCAAACTTGTGCTCCTCCTGCCTGGGCCTCCTAGGGTGCTGATATTACAGGTGTGTGCCATTATGCCTGCCACCTCATTAGATTGTCTATCAAAATTCTAGTTTGTGGGCTGGGGATTTAGCTCAGTGGTATAAGCGCTTGTCTTGGCAAGCATTAGGTCATACCAAAAACAAAAACAAAAAATCCTAGTTTGCGGCTTTGGCCTATAATCCCAGCATACGGGAGGCTGAGGCAGGAAGATCACTGGGAGTTCAAGGCCAGCCTGAACTGCACAGTGAAACCCTGTCTCCAGAAAACAAAACAAAAACAACTGATCCAGGTTTGCCAAAACAGTCTTGAAAAAGAATGAAGTTTGGAGGGCTGGAGATATAGCTCAGCAGCATAAGTGCCTGTCTGACAAGCGTAAGGTCCTTTATGTGATTCCCAGTGCCAAAGGAAAAAAAAAAACAAGTTTCATTTGGAGGATTTATATTTCCTGTTTCACAACTTACTACACTGCTACATGTAGTAAACTATATAACATGGTGCTGGTGAGACACCCTGTGGTCTGCAGTTGGGAATATATTTGTGTTGTTGGAGACACCCTTTAAGATGGGTGGTCTAAGATATTTGGCCTAAAAACCTTCTTTGTACCCTTTGAATCTTTGGTTGTTTCTTCATCTTAAGGTCAGGTTACTGCCCTGTACCTTAGGGATTTAAGTATGATAAGCTTCCAAGAAAAGACAAACAAGCCTGGGGAGTACAGATACAGATAACCTTGGGGGACTCTGGATAACCTTGGGTAGCTTTGTTTTAAAATTAGGATTTTCATGTCTCCTTTCTACCTATTTTTAGCTCTTCTACCTCAAGTCTTCTAACACTAAGAGCCTATGATTTATTTAATTTCCATAATTTTACAGCACTGCCAAATAATTTCTGCATCTATGTGATATGATTTAAAAAGAAAAATGGGCGCTAGAGAGAAAAAGAAAAGTAGAGAAGAGCTAAAGGAACCCAAGACAAAGGAATTAGAGGGTAAATGTGAAGGAGTACAAACAGGCGCCGCATGGTCCTATGTGGTTTTGCCCGGTGTGTTTGTCCGTGCGTGAACACGTTCATTATTCATAGCGCTCAGCTTGAGTTAGACAGAGATAGGGTAAATATTTTCTTTTAAAATGCTTGATTACCTAATTGTGTTTCAGAACTTTTAAATATTAGCATTTAAATATAGTGATTAATAGAGAAAAAGACAGAACCTACATTCAAAATAGAAATACATGCAAAATACAAAGGGTCAAGAATCTAGCATAGGCTAAGAGACCAAAAGTGCTTGGCACAGTAGAAGGGCCTTTTAAGGTATGATTAGAACAA